ACAGGAAGTCATTTTCGGGATTTAAAGGGGACCTATTATGCAAAATGCACTTTTTGATGTCTTTTATACATAGATATGTGTCCCCGGTGTGTAAGGAGACTCACAAAGTGTCAGAAAATAACACCCTCTCTCTTTTCCTCCGTACCCAAATCTCTAAAAATGGGGGTACAACGGAGCTGATCCAGTTTTGCTGCCGATATGACGTAATATCGGCAATGCGGACCCACAGCACTATCAAGTTGCTATCAGAAACAATGCCAGACTGTTTTGGACGTAATATGGTCTTTGTTTACATTAGCTAGCATGCTAACACTCAGAGCTAACGCAGTACTGGAGAGAGTATGTGTAAAACAGCAGGAAATACAAAAAGAAATTCACCTTGTGGTAAACCAGCAAGAAAAAGCATTTGAGCTCCATACTGTTTCAGAAATAATCCTTGATGCGGATTTTCTTTTCAAGCTAAGGACCCTGAATCAGCGTTTCTCTAACAGGGCTAAACAGAGGGATATGAGGGATTTCTAAAATGCATAATCTGTTTGGTATTTTGAGCAAAACACATCATAGACATGTTTTTTATAGATTTTTATAGATTTGAAACCCATAATATATGCCTAAAAATAGCATGATAGGAGACCTTTAAGACTCATTCCTTCACCACTCTTTTGCTAATGGTTTGGTCGTTAAATGTGCTTTGTTGCACTGGTTGAACAAACCCAAGTGTGATATCACAGTGTGCTGTACTGCACAATTTGAAATAAAGAGCATGGGATCCTCCACATACTCTCAACTTGGCTGAAGCTGGACCAAAGGATAACAGCTAATAGTGCTAACAACAGCAACAGGGTTTACAGAGCGAACAGTGCTAACCATAGGGTGGGTTAAGGAGATGGAGTTCTCAGCTGTATCAGCAATATGGGCGCAGTGCAAAGTGGTGCCATTAGTGAGCCAGTGGGGAAAACACACAGGGAGTCACATGCATCAGCCGGTCAGCAATAGAGATACAGCAAATAGAAGGTGGGATTAAAACACACAAATGGAGAGAAATTTCATTTTCTGCCCGGGTAAACAATACTCCACTATCTGTTTTCTGCCATGTATTGCACTGAATTCTGAATTGAGAACCTTTTACTAGAAGCAAGGCAAAGCAGCAGCAAACGACTAACCTGATACGCAAGATGGTTTGTCACACAGGAAAATCTGTGAAGCTGTCATTGGAAACTGTTTTGAAAAGTGCAGCCATTAAAAAAAAAAAAAATGTCAGATGATTGAATGAACCATCTGTCTATCACACAAGCAAGTATAGGGAAAAGATACAACATATATATATATATATATATATATATATATATATAATTTACATCTAGAAAGGCATTCAGTGCTGCTGTTTGCTCTTCTTTTAATTAAAAAATTATCTGTTTTAAACAAACAGTTGTCTCTGTGTCGCGCAACACGCGCCTGAACCACAACCATAACCGCCAGCAGGAGGACAGATCTTGTGATATCACAAGAATCCAGCTGCCTTGTCAGTAACCAAAATAGACAGAGAAGAACAAATGCAAGTCAATGTACATGTGATTGTTATCAATGCAGCCTCCAACATTAAAACATGTTATGCAAATGTAATATTAGGGAGCAATAACTATTTTTTTATTACCCAGCAAGGCACTGTCAACTTTGACGAGTATGTGACCATGATGCTTAGTTTATACGAAGAGGGACCACAGAAACTGAACCAAAAGGAAACTATTCACATGCATCGCTGTGTTGATGTTACTGCAATTCAGACTGTTATTGTTGGATTTCTACCAGTAAATACTCCAAACAGTAAAACCTCATCACCAAACAACTCTGGGAATTTACTGAGCATCAAGAGTTGAAGTTTCCTTCACTGCAGCTGAGTTTACCATCTCTCTTTATGAGGCATTTAAAGTTATATATCAAATTTGCTTGCCAACAGTATTTTTTCTTTTTGGCTTTGTCTTGAGCTTTAAACCCCCCAAGATTTCACAGAAAATAACTTCGTGTCTGACGCTATCTCATTCTGCTAAACAGCTGTTTCATGGCCTCTAGGGACGAGCGAGAGAAGGGCTGCAGGATGGAAGAGAGGATCCAAACAAGAGACTGAGAGGCACAGAGATGGGAACATATTAAGGAGGAACAGAGACAGACAGAGAAAGACAGAGGGACATGAGGATAGAGGATTCAAACATGCGAGGCTGTCGACACTTGCTTGATTGTGTCCGAAGCAAGAGGAGGAGAGTGGGACGAATAAAACAATTAACATGAACTGTACTCAGGGGAATGTGGGTTTCCTTGGCAACAGCAGGCATAGCCAAACAAACAGGCCCTTTCATAACAACTCAAAACAAACAGAAATGTCTCGCTTATTCGCACCCAGGCATTGGTAAAAAGGGCCATCCATCTCTGTTATCCTACAGGATAAATGTCCCCCCTACATTCTTGTTATACATTCTACAATATACATTTGAGCTTCCGCGCTCCATATTTCAAATTGTTTGCGAGTAGACAGAGAATGTGGTTATCAAAGCTCAGGGAACTTTGGATGTAGATGAAAATGTCAAAAACCAGATCATCTGCTAACAGAACAACAGAAGGATAAGATGCTGGCAGACCCTCTTGCCCCAGATACTGCTACAGAAAAAGAGTGGTATGTGTGTAGGGGGAAGTTTTATAATTCTAGAGTTGCGCTGTGGGATGGGTGGGGTCTGGGTTATTCAGAGCTGTGTTTGATGAGCCAGCAGGTCCTCCCTGTGTCCTGGCAAAGGTGCTAATGGATAATCAGTTGCAGGAGACTTGAATCACTTTAAAGCAATAGTGAAACAACATATTTGCTTTTCTTCCAGAGAGTTGATGAGAACTTTTATATTTGCACCTTAAACATAAAGCTACAGTATAGCCAACATCTGATTAGCTCAGCACAAAAACTAGAAACAGGGGGAAACGACTATCCTGTCTCTGTCCAATAGAAGACTAGATCACATCTTGTGATAGGATCACACGACGCAATGCTTAATGGGGCCAGGGAATGAAGCCGATGGGCTAATGGCCCCTTTCCCACTTCCCGAAGTGCCCGTTCTCGGACCACCTCATCTCTGAACTTGCGGCTTCATTTTGATTTCAACTACAATCCTGTGCATCTTCAGGGACCTCACTGAACTTTTTTTTGAAATTAGTGAACATTTGAGGTGCTTGTAGGTGGATCTAGGTCCCTTAAACAGACAGCTTGTTTTCAGTCGGTATGCTAAGCTGGCAAGTGGCTAGCTTTACAAACACACAAGTGGTATAAACTGACTTCTCATCCAACGTTCCTACCGAATGCCAATAAATGTATTTCCTAAAGTGGCAATCTATTGCTTACATTGCTTCAGTCAATCCTTTACGAAGTCCACATACAAGCAAATAGCTGCAGGACAGGGAGAGCCAACTGTTCAGCAATGCATGACTCCACAAACACCCCCACCCCTCTTGTTCTTTCTTTCTTTCCCTCTTTCTTTCTGGGGCAGTTGAGCCTAATGAAATCATTACATAGCATAAAGTCTAACAACAGTTTGCAGTTTCAGCAGGGGTCGGTCAAGTGGAAATCAAACTTCCAACGTTGGCATCAGATCACTCTGCCCACTGAACTAATTCCGGGCACAATAGCAGCGAGGTCACTTCTGAATGTAAATGTCAGATTTCAGAGAGAATAATCACATCCATATAATTTGAACTGAGTGAGGGTTTTGTTGTGAAATGAACAGCTTTCTCCCAAGTGAAGAGTCTTTTGTGATTAATGCCAAGAGTCAGGAGGGTGATCAACCCGATGAATTAACAGTGTGGAAGCCTGTTCGATGTATGTGTGCTACATAATTATTTAATGAGTACAGCAGTTTGATGGCATTTGTGGATGTGTTTGTGTGAGACAAAGAGGGAGCAGGAGGGGGAATCTAGCCTTGTTGCCCGATCCAAAGAATGAATGTAGGTCAGTGTTTGTGTGATGAGTAGGTCACAGTATGTGACGCACGCTCGCACGCTCGCACACACACGCGCACGCACGCACACGCACGCGCACACGCGCACACACACACACACACACACACACACACACACACACACACACACACACACACACACCCCACATATCAAGTGGCATTTATGCATGGTAGGACATATTGGATACACACACACACACACACACACACACACACACACACACACACACACACACACACACACACACACACACACACACACACACACACACACACACACACACACACACACACACACACACACACACATCCTTTTCCATCTTCATCTCTCTCTCTCTCTCTCTCCACGCTCACATTTCCTCTCATCCTCTCAACAGCTTCAGTTTTGGCCAGGCAGCACCAGCCTCCTTCCAGCTGTTTTGGCCCTTCGATAACAAAACATCACAAGCTGTAAACTTTGAACAGCCCCCCAGAGTTTGTTTAATAGGTTTAGTAGGTGTTTAATAGATTCAATGAATAAAAGTATTACAAGGTCCCTGTATATCTGTGTTAAAAACCAAGCATAACTGGCAAACTTACAAATATTACTGCTAGAAATTCCTAATAATAAAGGGTCTGTGGGGTATTCATGCATATCAGTGCAGACAGCTATCTTAGAAAGTAGTCTGGTAAACCCTTAAATCTATCCTGTTTCACAACATGGCAACCCACAAGTGGTTTTCATTCATGGATAATGTATTACGCATAACAAATGAGTTATTGATAAATGCAGCCCTAATTGAATGCGTGTAATAGCCAAAGTGCACAGCAAATAGTCAAGTTAGTCAAGTGCAAAACAAATGCATTATATTCAACTAAAACAAAACAGATTTCCTATTAACTTTCTGTTGAAGTGAAGCGATAAGGGATTTACAGCAGTAAATTGTTAACCAGCAGCATTGATATGATGCGTCACATGACCGTGTCGGGGGTCGGATATGCTCACTCACTCATTGTGTGTATCTCGCCTGCAGATGTGACAGTGTGGAGGCAGACAGCAGACCGCCTCCTCCAGCAGCACACAATGATCCAACTCTTCATCAACTTTAGGACTCCTAACTGTCTCGGATTAAATCAAGTCGTCAGTTCCTGAGAGGAGCGCCGAGAAGCCTCTGTCCTTTGTAGCAGGAGTGTTCACCAGATAAACCCCCATCGCGGGATCTGCCTGTTTTGGTTTGAGGCGGGTTTTCCCCTCCGTGTTCATACACCGGCTCACCTGCAGAAGCTAAAAACCATGCGCCCCCGGGCTGCGCTACCCCGGTAAGTCACCTTTATGTGCGGTTTGTCCATGCTCGGAAAAACGTTACAGGTCAATGTAGAGAAGTTCCTAAGCAGTTAACTGCGATGTTAAATGTTAACTGTACTGTTAAAATGTAATTGGTGCAGTGGTAAAATAAACGATTTATAGTTTACAGATGTTTTTTTCCCCCCTACAAATAATGTACATTTTGATTAATTCAGTTACTCAATGTGTGAATGACTTGCAAGATGCAACTATGTCATGCTATATATTTTAGATGTTTTAGATGTCTTGTGTAACCCTGAACCCACAAATAGAGACTACAGTCAGTAGTCAACATGTTATTTAGCTACTTTTGAAGGGTTAAGGTCCAATTCCCAGACCACTTAAGGAATTTTCCATCAGAGTATAGTGGCCTGATCTTTGCCCTATTCTTCATTTTTGCAGCATTACAACAGTGGAAGTTTACAGCTACCAAATTCAAGGGCAGAAAAAAAAATCCTCAAGTTGAAATCCTCCTCCTCAATTCCCATAGTTGTAGTTGTGAATTCATGACGCTGACTTTAGGAGTGGGAATTTCTCTTCATGCAGACAGCAAGAGTGGCATGGACATCCAATCACATTCAACAGAGCCTCTTGAGTTCTGCAGAAATGTTCGAGTCTGACAGGAATGGGTCTTCAGTTAATTTTCTTGATCTGTCCTTCTGTCCATCCACAGGTTTTCCTCCATTATATTTCTCCTCTTCCTTCCCCCTGTTTTTTCCTCTTCCTCCCGCCCCCAGTGGGTTCCTCAGCGTGTCCCTGTGGTCCTCGCACAGCAGACGGAGGCTCGATCAGCCCCTCACTTCCTGTCTCCGGCCCGCTTGGACGTCAGCTCCCCCTGTGACCCAGAATGCCACAAGAAGGCTCCTCGTCCAAGCTACTGGGACCTGCGACGTCTTCTGGCCTATGAGACACTCAACTCGGATGGGCAGCTTACTGAGACAGCTGTTGCGATCTATGGCTACGACCCCAACACGAGTCCGGCCTATTCCTCTGGGTCTTCTGGGAAGGCCCAGCGGTCACATGTCAGGAGGAAGCGACAGATCTTTGGCCATGATGGGCGTTTTAGCATTTCTGGGCAGAACCACTTGCTGAAATATCCATTCTCAGTGGCCGTCAAGCTGTCCACTGGGTGTTCTGGTACATTGGTTGGCGACCGTCACGTTCTCACAGCTGCTCATTGTGTTCATGATGGTAAAAACTACGTGAAAGGAGCCCAGAAGCTCCGGGTTGGGTTTCTAAAAACGAAGCATCGAGACACACAGGCTTCGTCCTTTGACCTTTCCTCCAACTTCACCAACCATGTTGAAGGTGGCCACGTTCCTTACGCCCCACCAACAAACGACAAAATGAAGTTCCAGTGGATCAGAGCGAAGCGCACACATGTGCCTAAAGGATGGATTAAAGGGAATGCCAATGATATAGGAATGGACTATGACTACGCTTTGCTTGAGCTCAAGAAACCCCACAAACGCCGCCACATGAAGTTAGGAGTCAGCCCCCCCGCTCTGAGGCTGCCCGGTCGACGAGTCCACTTCTCAGGATTTGACAATGACCGTTCAGGCAAGCTTGTGTATCGGTTCTGCCGGGCCGGCGAGGAGACGTCCGACTTGCTGTACCAGCACTGTGATGCTCAGCCCGGGGCCAGCGGGTCAGGGGTCTACGCCCGGATGTGGGATGGGCGGCGCCGGCGCTGGGAGAGGAAGGTGATAGGTGTGTTTTCTGGGCATCAGTGGGTCGAGCGACAAGGGGCGTCTCAGGAATTTAATGTTGCAGTGAGAATCACACCTCTCAAATACGCTCAGATCTGCTACTGGATAAAGGGAAACTTTGTGGACTGCCGAGAAGGGTAAGGGGTGTAGCAACAAAACCGTAGGCCACTATATCCTCATACATCCTACTGGATCATTGGGGGCTGAAACAACTACAGTGTTCAACCCACCACTAGTAACACTGACATAAAATCAAAATAAACATCAACATTTAGTTTCCCCTGATCACATATGGCAATATCAGTAATGTAAATACAGACCCAAAGTAGTGACACTAAACATAGTAAACGGGACAGATTCATTTCCAAAACACTTAGTTTTGTATCTTCTCTCCCATTTCTCAAATATGAAAGTTTTACATGTGTATTAACTTGAAAAAGTGTAAGTCATGTGGTTTTGCAGAACAGAGGCACACTTATCCGTTTCCTGGAACAATTTTCTTGTTGATAATTTCATCTGGAAGACACTCATATCTGGAACATGCATGGACTGATATAAAACAACAGGTCATCAGATCACAAGGAGCAGGACTGGGAAAACTATTTCACTATGTATTCTAGCCTTTTAGTGTGCTTATACTAAAGATTGCACTGTTTAAACTCTTGAAGTTTCTCTACTGAAAAGTATGATTTTTGTGGATGAATGTACACATCAGCAACCAAAGGTGCCTGCAGTTTCTCTTTTAAAGATGATGCGTCTTCTCTCAGTGGACAAACTAGTTATCTACATAGAGTGCTCTGTCAGCTACACACTGTGTTTTGGAGGTATATTTAACTTGTTACACAGAAGTATTTTAGATGACTGCAGATTACTTGTTTTTATGAAGCCCATTTTGTTGAGCTTTATACATTAATTCTTAGCTCCCTCTGGTGGCAAACATAAAACATTGTAGACGTCCATCATGCAGACTTAGCCAAGGCCTACATAAGCACTTTTTGCTTCCTACTTTAAAATGTGTGAAACTGCAAATGTTATGTCTCAGAAACTGAGACATAACTGAATGAAATATATGCTCTGAAATAAGCAACTGTGTCAAATTTGTTTCTTTTCCAGCAGGCAACATGTCCCTCATACAACACGATTATTTTAAACATGTTTTATTTTGGATGTCAAAAGGCATTTTCAGAAATCATGTGGGGAAACTAGACAGTGTAAAAAGCCGAAATATGAGGACCAGCTCCAATGACTTCTCCAGCAGCAACACATTCAACAGGTTCAACCAGGAGATTGAAACTGAATCCGGGGATATGGCACAAGGAAAACTAACTCTGCAAATTTTACAACTTGCATAGCCGTAGCCGAAAAACAGATCAGCTTCAGTTTTAATAAAAACCTGTTTTCAAGTTTCCTATAAGATGAAGAAACGCCAAATACACTTTGGGGCAATGTGGTCAAGCTCTTATAGGACCTAAAATCTTTCCAAATCGTATTCCTCTTCTTCAGTTGTGGTGTTACGGGTTTCTTAAAAAACAAAGAATGTCTCAAACTTGAGCAAAGACTTAACATTCAAGAAAGTATCGGTGTGGAAACACGATTTCAATCAAACTTAAACATGTCTTCCCTCTGTGTTACTGAGATAAGGGTGATATAAGTACACCCATTAAAAAAAACTCAAATTGATGTGATGGTGCTCAATCGGAGGCTGGTGATACTACCCTTAAATACCTGCCAATTCAAGAAACATTTGCTACATTCAAGTGGAAAATGACTGCAAAAATAAAGCAGAAACACAGAGGAGAGGATTTAAGGGCTGGATGTGCAGAATAAGCATAGTAATGGGCACATGTATGGCATTTGTGTATAAGAAAAACAAATCTTCAAACTCATGACACAGAGCAGCACTGGTGATCCAGACAAGTACTCACTGGTTCATCTCAAAAGTAGTTTCCTCCATCTCATTTACACTCAACATGAAACTTGACTTGAGTCAATGTGAGATTCACGACCGCACAGGAAACATTGATCTTTTGATTTTCTACCTAGATTTGAACCTCAGGATAGGAAAAAACATTTTTTCTGTTGATTTCTATCTGAATACTGAACAGCCTATACTTAATACTGCTTTTAGTTTTTGACTGAGTTAGAGACGGGGAATGAGAGGAGTTTCATAAAGAGAAACATACTTTGGAGTAAAAGGATGTTCGCCAAATGTGACTTAACAGAAAAGGCAACAGCATGCAAGGCAACCTGTTTCAAACACCATACCGGTAACTGAGAATACATAAACTGGTAATGATGTGATGCATTCAGTCTCTCTTCATCACCCATGGAAAGGTCACTATAAGAACACCCTCTGCTGTCAAATCCATGAGAGATATATTTGCAGAGTGAGAAGTGTTAGGTCCTAGGACGTACCAACAGAAATCTTTATTATTAGCCACATTTGTTCCTTTATCTACAGCCAATCCACAAAGACCCTATTACGATATGGTCCTAATACCATTAAGGTTTAAGCATTGAGGCACCAAATCGAAAACATTGACTGGATCACCTTTAACACAAATGAGTAATTGAGAACTTTTCAGCATGTCAAAAGGTTAGTCAGGCATCAGCAAGTTGACTTTAATCCTCATCTGGTACAGCAGCAGCCCTGCAAAGTTAACACTTCTTAAGGAACAACCAGAGCAGGCAGGGCTATAGGACAAGAAAAGTCAGTCAGGGTTAAGCTGTTTTCTGAAATTATTTGTGAGTGTGCTTTTAATTTACAGATGCCAATAGTATTTCCACACCCACACACAGGTTGACACTCGGGTGTACGTTTGTAAAGACTGGTGCTGTAACTGCCCTCCAGATAGCCAATGAAATGAAAGAAGCAGATACTGAGAGTGAAAAACAAAGTACCTACAGTAATGTGATTGAGGAAGAATACCGCCATCTCTGCAGAGGAAGAGGATCAGAGTACCTAAGGTGTTTTCCCTATAGACTCATCTGAAGACTGTAAACGGTGGGAAACAGCAAGACTGGCTCCGTCTAAAGGTTACAAACTATAAACACATTAAATCTCCTTTGTTTAATTGATTCAAATGTGTGAAAATGACAAGACAAATATCTGTGGTTGCCTGGCAACTGCTCAAAGCCAATAAATAGTCTGGCGCTGTTGTTTTTACGCTTAAATATTTGTTCTTATTAAACAAAGGAGACATACGTGCTGATGAGTGAGTTTTAGAGGTGCTGGAAGGCAGATTCTGTTACTATCGGTTTAACCAGGCTAGACATTTAATACATTTCTGCCTTTTTGCCATCTTTGCGCTAACTGTGCTGTTGCCTCACACTTGATGGACAGATATGAGTCAGGATCTGAGGCACAACTCCTTCCACTGCTCTGAGTGGCTCGTCTGTTCGACTGACTGTCAGAGGCCAGGCTTTGCTCTGTGATTGGCCACCTGCACTTAAAATATCTTTGGTGAAAGTCACCTCCTGGCATTCCCTGACTTCCCTGTCGCCTAGCAACAACATAACACAACATGCTAATGTCATCAGCGTGGTAATGCCCGGCGTAACTCGAAATAGTATACAAAATAAAAATATTCTTTTAAATAGGTATATAAACATTGCATTACAAATAGAACCGTATCAAAACACGGTTACGAGTTCACAGTCTGTCCCTCATCCTCCAAGCGTGAGTGCGAATCAACCCTCCGGTCCTTTTCCAGACCCCCACCCGTCTCGCCTCCACAACAAGAATACGTGGGTGAGGTCTCGCTGTGCGGAGGATCACTGCACCTTGAGCCCCAAACTGTTGGAGGACACAGGGTAGGAGTAGGCTTTGCCCAGCACGATGCGATCTCGCAGCAGTTTAAAAAGGACATAGTAGTTGCAGAAGAGAATAAGGCCCAGAGACAAAGTGTGGTTCCAGCGCTCGGAGCGCAGCAGAGAGTATAACTGGTACAAAACCACACTGGACTCGATCCAGATCAGCAGGTTCAGGATCCGCAAGGGCTTGTGGAACAGGAACTGGAAGACCAACAGACAGGAAGATAAGAAGATAAATGACAGTGCATATAGAAAGGTCAAAGCACTTAATATGCAGGGTGTGAACCATTTTTTTTAATGCAATATGCAATATAGAATATGCTTTCAGAGGTAGAAGGAAACTAATTCTTCCGCTGTGTAGTACTTTTGTATAGTACAGAAAGTGTACTTCTCTTCTAAATTAATATTTTACAGGTCAATCCCTCCGTCATTATAATAAAAAGAACAAATACTCACATAAAACCTTGCATGGGAAACATCAGAGGGCAGAGCAACATTATAGGGTCCGACTGCCTTATACAGCGATCGACTGTGTCGTACCAACACCCCCTGAGGCCAAATGGTACTTTCTGACCACCTGCAAAATATATCAAGTTATACATGCAGCATTGACAGTCAATTTGAAAATCTGTGTCTAATGTGTTTACGATTCTCCACTCACACATGCTGAGGAGCGTTGCTGTACGAGCCGTGCTCCAGTTTCTGCCAGCGGCCCAGGTGAGCGGCCGAGCGATGCAGCAGGTCGCAGTAGCTGGGCGGCAGCAGCTGACTCATCAGCATCACAAACGCATTGATCCACACCATGATCAGATGCTCACAGGACCAGCGCATGTCATAGTACTGCGTGCTCTGTTGGAGTTAATGGGAAAAGGAACGGTATATTTACTAGTTTACAGCAAGAAACCAGGTAAAATGTAGGGCAGGGGTGTCCAAACTACGGCCCGCTGACCATTTTGAATCGGCCCTCAGCAAATAAAAAAAGTATAATGGAATATGGCCCACAAATGAAACTTGTGCTTGTCTTATACTGTACTTCTTAAATGTAAAAATATATTACACAGTAGTATTCATGTGTTAAGACCACTTTTCAAATAAATTCAGTCAATTAAAGTTTGAAACATTTTCTAACATATATTAGTTGATAAGAAAAAAGCCCAATGACTTATTTGCATAACAAGCTTGAAATACACCCTTCCTATTTTTCCTTATTATGATCAATCGGAGGCTTCTGTTTTAAGGGATGAGCTGCCAACACTCACAAGCATCATTTACCTACATTTGATTGATTTTGCTAACTTATAACTGAACTTATGAGGCAATATACCTCTAGTGATTGGCCCAGACCTTCGTATATATTTCTGTATGTGGCCCTCGGTGAAAAAAGTTTGGACACCCCTGATGTAGGGTCATGATGTGATGGGGAGGGGATACAGAAATAATTTGCACTTTAACGCTGATATTCTCAATAAAATAAAAACAAAAAGACAGATACCAACCTTAACAAAGCAGAGAGGCAGGAAGGCTACGTAGTAAGCACTGAACAGCGAGTTGAAGAGCACTTCCTTGATTCTACGGTTGAAGTCGCTCTTTAGCTCCTCCACCTCTGCTCGAATTAACTCCGGCGTGTGCGAGTGTGTGTGTGGAGGGCAGGTGTGTGTAGGCATGTGCGGGGGACTGGAAAACTGCTCTCTGAGGTTCTCTCGCAACAGGAAGAGGAAGTCACGTGGTCGAAAGAACGGGGTCTCTGTGAGCTCTGTCTGCTGGTGGTCTGCGGGGTAATCGCTGTCAGCTGGTGCCGTTTGGCTTTTCCCTCCCTCCTGATGGAAACAGCAAAGAGGGACGTACACACCAAATCTGGAATGGAAGGAGGGCGGGGAGCCAACAAGGACAGAAGAAGAGCAGCGAGTTTTAGTCTTTTGAACTGACAGCAGGATGAAAATGAAGTTTATGTATGTGTGAGTGTTTAAGTAGGTACATGTGTGTTATTTGTCATTTCAAACAACCCCCATGTACTTTTCCGTTTTTATTTTATTCTACACATTTTCTTTTGTATTTAATTTGCCATTTTCGGGTCACTAAAGAGATTACTGCAGGTCTCCCTTGAAAAAGAGATCAATGATCTCAATGGGATTTCATCTGGATAAATAAAGGTTTTGAATTGAATTGATATGATTTGCAAAACTGTACTTTTAATATAATGTAAAATCAGACATTAAGAGAGGTTGGGTCCACGAGATCCATTAGCGCAGACATAAAAAAAGGACAAAGTAGCAACAAGCTCACTGTGAATCAACTGATGAATGGCTATTTGTACTGAACATCTAATGTTTGGTGGCCAAAGGAAACATATTTTTAGATTTATCTGGGGATTTTTTTAATGCTGATAAATGAAGGTTTTTTCCTTTCACGTCTGCACCACAACAGCAACGTCATGGTTTGTTACGTTTTGTATCAGATTCACTCCATGCCGTCTATGATACATACACAGAATTGAAACAAAAAGAAAAGAAATAAAATACTGTGTTGAGTCATTTCCTTTAGAGTTTGATGCCACAGACACCATAAATTAAAATAACCCACAACTTTGCTAATCATGTTTTGCAAGTGTCAATATACCAGCTGGGGTATTTTGGTCCCTGTACATCATGAACATTTGAAACCTGCCACTGCTTTTGATCTTGTTTATGTAGAGCAGAATCAGCGTCTGAATCCATCATCCTCTTAAACCTTCGACTACAAAAACTAAAGTCTGTAGCAGTGCAAAAAAAACAAGCATAGTTCAAAGTTCTCCATCAAAATCTATTCAACTCATCATCTCTTTCAACACCATGAATGACTTTGAGTAGAGAAAGTGAGAGTGCCATGTTTTGCCCATTTATGTCGTGCATTGCTGTTTATCTCTTTATGATGGCAGGCGTTTTGATCCACTTAAAGCCTTTCAGAACCGGTATTTACAGGTTCTTCAGCCTTGAGACGTGGTCAGATCACAACTTATACATGCATTTCCTGGCCTTTAGAGGGTATGGTAGGGCAGTGGTTCTCAAATGGGGGTAAACGGACCCCTAGGGGTACGGTGGAGTACTGCAGGGGGTACGTGAGATTTATTTTATGTTAATGAAAAAATAAAAAAATAGATAAATATACCAATTTTAGGAAAAGTAACGAAGTTTGAGCAGTGTGGATTTTATATTAATAGACTAGAGTTACACATATTTCAAAACGCGAAGTGTAATAACTGCAGTTTGCCTCCCTGTCAGAATGACAAAGATCCTCAGTGAAGCACAAGCCCATGTTTCTCACTAAATTGTAAGTACAACTTATTAAAAAGATCAGTTCAATGCAACTAATGTCGTCTTGGTGTTATTGCATGATGTTAAAATTGGTTGGCCATGAATTTAGTGATGGATTGTAAACATTTTAAATGTAGCATTTAAGTGTTTCTCAGGTACAATGTTGTTGTTTTAATAAATCAGACACTGATGGTGCAGCACTGTACTGTACCTCTTTATATAGGCTTTTTTTTCCTAACAAATAGTTTTTGCGCTGATCAGGGGGTACTTGGCTGAATTTTTTTTTCAAAGGGGGTACATTATTGAAAAAAGTTTGAGAATCACTGTGGTAGGGGGTATCAAAGACTCACGGGTATCCCAGGAAGAGGAGGTTGAGCACAGAGTGGTTCTTGCAGAGGTTGACCAGCGTCCAGCAGAGCACCCAGCCACAGAGCGTCAGCAGGCTGAGCCGCGCTGCGATCAGAACCACGTAGCGGAGAAGGGATCCGCCGCTGCTCTGAGACACCTGCACAGGACGCCACCACAGGTTACCAGAGAGACAGCCGGGGGGTTTGATTCCCACAGAGGTTATGTGTATTTAATGTTTCTGCTTATTGTATGTTGTGTGTTTACCTCTGAAACGATAGTCCAAACAAGCCTCCTGGCCAACATGACTGTAATGAAGATAGCCAGGTGGTAGTCCATCAGATGGAAATTCTGTTCAAACATAGAGAAAGAAGCAATCATTATTTTTCCATGGAGACATTTTTTTTGTTAAATTGTACATATTAAATTAGACCTGAACATGCACAATATACTGTTAATATTTTATGAACTGTGTGCAGTGGCTAAACAACTGTATTGGTTTTCCAATTCAGAGATGTCATTACTGCCAAACTGTTAATGTTTTACTTATTTAAAAAAAGAAGAGGGAAGGTTGATTCCAACTCGTTTTAACCCAGTTGTTCCCTGCTCACATTCAAAAATGTGTTTTTGTTTGGTTAAAGAAAATAAAGTTGGAATATTTCTAATAAACAGAGAAAAAAATAAAGAAAACAATAGCAAAGAAGTCACTTAAAAGTAAAAAATAAATAAATAGAAAAGCAATAACAAATCAAGCTGGTGTGTACTCCAGGTTTCAGTCGTCTTTTTAATATTCATGGTACATGGTTTCAACAAAAAAAGATTAGCCGGGTCTTTGGATGTAAAGTGTTCCCGCTTAAGATACGTGTGAAAAATTGAGATTTGTTTTTACATTTTCAAAGTTAAGAAAGAAAAAAGCATGACTTTGATTGGCCAGTGTGTTCTTACGAGCGAGGTAGAGGCAGCAGGGTGGCTGTACGGGTACCACCACACCGTCCTGTAGATGTTTATGTACTGGACAAACAAGGCCACCAGCAGATACAGGAAGAGCAGGAACTCAAACAGCAGGCTGCTGTCCAACGGCAGCTCGGGGATCCTCGAGTGACGCACCGGCTCCGGAATAATGAGGGCCGAGATAGGGGGCGCAGACAGACCCACCACGTTACTGCTGCTGAGGGAACACAACCACACCTAAAATACACTTGTAGACAAAAGGTGTGGTGCAGAACAATGTTTGTGTCACATCACACCCAATTCTCAAACCTTGACTCAGGCTTGAAGTTCATCTCTATTTGTATGCCAGTTTTACAAGGATTACATCTAATATTTTTTCAGAGAAATCCATTTGCAACTATTTTGATGGACAACTCATCTTTATGTAAATGATCTCTTTGTCATTCTTAAATTATTTTGTTTTAATTCCAAACAATGTCCCAACATTTTAGTGACCTTAATCTATAAATAACGGTAATTCTTTGACGGAATATAAATGACGTGGAAGAGATTACTACATGATTAAAGAATATGTTTAGCTGATGTTTGATATCCAGGCTCTGATATCCTAGACCTAGGGGAACGACAATAACCATTTAGTGGAAGTGGATCAGAGCCTGCAGGTGGATGCTGGGGTGGAGCTCTTTAAATACTAAAGGCTCAGCAGCAGCAAGCGCATCGTTTTCAGGAGAGCCTTTGATTGGCCACTGACGGCTCAAGTCAGAGACTGTTTGAATCCATTTGTAAGTATTGCTGATAACATTTAGTTTTGTTCAATTTAATGGAGTTATTGTTAATCTCTAGTAATAATGACAAGTAAGGCAAGGCAAGGCAAGGCAAGGCAAGGCAAGGCAAGGCAAGGCAAGGCAAGGCAAGTTTATTTATATAGCACCTTTCAACACAAGGTAATTCAAAGTGCTTTACAAAAATGGAAGACAAGTAAGTCAAAAATAATTTTAAATGATAATACGGCTAGCTAAATTCATAGGCAAACAAACAACGAATTAAGCACTTTTGATGCATGTCTGATAAAGTACTTTAAACATTCCATCTAAGTGGACAATAAAAGAGAGCATTAAAGCCTTACTGGGTAAGACCTAAAGTGAAATGGGGTTTTCTTTCCAGACTGTTTTGTTTTTAAGTTTCCATTCAGCATAACGTCTGATAAAAACAGTGTGTGCTCACCTGTTCCTGATGCCTGTCCCATTGCTGATGTTGCCTCCGACCAGAGTCTGCAGGGACGGCAGAGCAGAGCGACTTAGCTGCTGTCTGCTGGGACCCCTGCGACCTCCTGGCATGGTCGCCAGTTACCTTGGCAACCACGGACGCCGCCCACCAACCAACAGCCGCTGGCACTCCTCCCCTTCTCCTCAACGAGCCACCATGTACAGTCAGGCCACTGCGGGGGGGAAATACAAAACTGTCAACAGAAGTCTACAGATTATTAAAAAAATGCAAGTCACGCAGAGACGTAAAACCAACAAACCTGAGGCCTAATCAACATTTATAGGAGAGCACCCCGGAGACAAATTAAATATAATTTGAGTATAGACCTGTCCCGTGGTGTTTACTTCACACACAAATTGAGCAGTTGTGAAATTAATGAGTGGAAGGATAATTGGAGCACTGTGCAGATGCTGCAGTTTGTCAATGACTTATTTATTTCTAATATGTTAAATGTTATGTTCTCCCTTATGTTTATTAAATGGTTAACTGTTGCATGACTTGTAATTCTAAGTACAACAAAATGGCCTGTAAGTTAGACATCTGCCTGCAGGACCACAGATATTCAGCTGTCACTGAAGTTGATGAAAAATAGATCTAAACAGATATTTCACCACTGTTAAAAATGTTGGATTAAAAGTAGGAAACAGAGTTAAAAAGGGGTTTCCTTAAATAAACCAGCAACTTAACAGCGTGATCTGAGAATCTGATGCACGTTAAAACATAAAGACATTAACGTTCATTGTTTGGTCTGTTTGCCACTGCTTTGATCAGCCTTTATCAAACCTACACCAGATGTAAACTTGAAATTAAATATCGCTATTAAAAAAAGGCATCCTGACAGTTCTAAAAGGATTCAATCTAATAATTTGTCAATGGACAAATTACCATTATGTCAATAATGAGGAAACAGGAACTAGGTCAGCAGTCCATTTCATTTAATTGAATTTAGTTTTTTGAAAAGTGCTGTATAAATAAAAATAAAGATATTTCCACCTTCACAAACCTGCCAGGAAACTATTGAGAAGAGGTCATATTCTGACCTATTTGTTATTCGTATGTAGCATCAATAGAAGTGCATTTAGTTGTGAAATCCAGTGTAAACAATGGCATTAAATCAACCTCAAATCTTTATTGTACGGCATTTTTTATTTGCGTGAAATAATCTCTGCAGCGTGCACATCTTTTAAGTTAAATTTCAGAATTTTCTTTTGCATATTTTTCTGTATTGTGTAGGGAGTAGAGGAGGACATAACATGCAAGAACAGTCATTGGCTGGAATTGAACGGGCTGTATGTAACTTAATGCAACAAATTGATTACAGAGACTGCATTTATTTTTAATGTTTTATTAAGTATCATTTCAATACACAAATTCTTAGTCATTCATTTGAGTTTTGAATCCCTAATCAATCAAATAACCGTTTTTTTTTTATGAGGGTTCAACTTTATGGTGATTTTATGGATGCGGTTGTATTATAAACCCTATTGTTCTCCAGCTCCACTACAGATTACAGCCTCTGAAGTTGAATGAACCGCTCTCCCAAACAAGTTCAACATAAACTACGGTTGGATTTATTGCATGACTGTTGAATAGACCATGGCTGACATTTTGACTCGTCAATGCAGGAAAAGCACAGTTTTCATTATGTATACTACATAATATAATTTGTAGTATGTATTAACATTAATAATAAATCCAATTGATTAAGTATTCAAGTTAACGATATCAGTGAAGGAACATGCACAATACACCTGGGCTTCACCTGCTTTAGTACAAATGTCTGCCATGAGAAGAGGCTACGTGACTGCATTAGTTTCAGCGGTAGTTAAGAAAGTGAAAATGGGAAACAAAATGAAAATGACTTATAGTACTTAGCTATCATCTTTTCACCTCATAGAAGCAGCTCCATTTACCACGATTAATACCGGATCACAGAAACATCCCAAAGCCTTCTTGTAACTGTAACACCACTGGCAACTGTTTAACCAGAGCTTGAGTAAACAGAGCGCTCACCAATCTACTACCTGGAGTACCAGACCCGTTTGTGTGCAGTCCAACAGCTGTTTGCACTGCAGAGGCAATTACAAATGTCTAGGTATATTGTCTACAATAAATAACTCACGAGTGTTCATTCAAGAGCCAATATATCATTTAAATTAGGGCTACAACAAAGGATTATTTTCAGGTTGTTCTGAAAAATTAACCTAATAATAATGTTGTTATCGTTAACACCTTGATTACTCCTGCTGTGACACGTCAGACACGCCGTTAAAACAAAGACCATTAAGCTTCCTCTTTGTGTCATCCTCAAAACACTTCAATACTTATTTCCCACTCATAGACCAATTAATGGTCCGGGTGTGGGAGGCTATGAACAGCTACATGATGACATGACATGACATGCAACAAAAACATGTCCAAAAGACGTGTAGAAGTAAAGAAGAACTGATTGAAGTCAAGGGATGTGAAAACAAGGTGAATGTATTCTACGGTTCCAGCCTCCTAACGATGAGGATACAATATCTTTCTGTTTCAGGTTATTATGAATTAAGTATGATTGGGTTGTGGGGACTTTCAAAACTGAATCATTGGAGAAAAAAAAAACATACCAAAACAATGTTTGTGAATGTGTCTGTTTTTTAAGTTTAATATGACATGGAAAATTGATCAATTGCACAGTCAGTGGGATGTTTTAAAGATACAAGCTGAGAAAACTAAGACAGCAACTAGCAGTATTTTTTACATTTGATTAATCTGCAGAATATATTTTTTGTATCATCAATGAATTGTTTTATCTCTACAACGTTGAAAATCTTTCCAACAAGACTTATTCAAATGTTTTGATTTAACTGACCAAAGTATATAAAAAATATATTTTCTTATGTGAGCTGGAAAGTATCAAATCCTCACATGGGAGAAACTGGAACAGCAAATGTAAACAATGTATCAATAATCAAAACAGTTGCAGATACATTTGATTGACTACCTAATGGAATAACCTACAAAAACAAACAAACATTTTTAACTTGTTTGTGAGAAAGTGTTGAATCATGCAGTCGACAGAAAAAAAAAGGGTCAACTTTTTCGGTAACCGGTTTGTAATATTGCAAAAATGCCAAAACATTTTCTAGTCCTGGGCTCTTAAGTGTGAGGATATGCTCTTCTTCTTTATATAATTTGATAGTTAACTGAATTGATTTTACACTTCTATGGATAAAGAAGCAATTTGAAGATGTCTATTGGATTCAAATTATGAAAATGTTTTGTGAATCAAGATTATGATGGTCATGTTTCACTATTCTCTGACACAAATCAACTATTGATTTATAAAGAAAGCTTTAAATCGATCTATAATGAAAGTAATTTTGAAGTCCTATCTAAGTTAGTGTAGCTGTAACTTTACTACATCAAATACTGTATCATTTCTCTCAGCCTCACTGCTCAGCAAGTGTTAGGCTCCTACAACAAAACCTCAACCTCAGCCAGATAACATCATCCCCCGAGTGCTTCAACATTTCCTTTAGCATCACATGAAACAAGATGGAGATGATCTTACAAATGCTCTGTGGCCACTGTGTTCAAGCTCCAATTAAAAACAATATTAAAGCTGATTTTTCAACAGGAAACAGCCGTCAACACTCACACAAGGCCACTGGGGACCTAAATTACAGTTGAAATTCAAAAGTGAAAACAGGAACTGTGAACTAGAGAAATAAACTTACATGGAGAGATTGCAGGAGGGTATTTTGTAATGATGTGGAAGTGTAGCACTAGTTTTCCCCTTCAATTCAAGGCCTTTAAAAAAAATGTAAACACGCAGTGGTGGAATATAAAGAAGTACAACTTAGAGGTAGGCTGATTGTAAAACATTTCCATTTTCTGTTATGTTTTACTTCTACTCCATTACATTTTAGATGCAAATATTATTCTTTTTAATTGAGTATTTTGTCTGACAGCTTTAGTAACTTTACAGATTGCAAATGATCTTACCCTTCCTGTCCAGTGAATATGAGGCATTACCAGATGGTGAATTATTGTTGTTTACCAGAGGTGGAAACAGTACTCAGATCGTGTACTTGAGTAAAAGTAGAAGTACCAGAGTGTAGGAATACTCTGTTACAAGTAAAAGTCCTGCATTCAAAATGTTACTCAAGTAAAAGTACAAAAGTATTAGCATCAAATATACTTCAAGTACCAAAAGTAAAGTACTCATTCTGCAGATTGGTCCATTTCAGAATAATATATATTATATGTTTTGATTATAATTATTGATGCATTAAAGTGTTATCAAAGCTGGTAAAGGTGCAGCTAGTTTTAATGACTTTGTATACTGCAGGGAGGATTGTGAATTTACTCCAGGTGCAACTAAAGTCTGATTTAAGAGTTGATTATATTTCACATTATTAATCCGATTGGAAATGGAAATGGAAATACTCAAGTACAGTACAACTATCTAAAAATTGTACAGTACTTGAGTAAATGTACTTAGTTACTTTACACCACTGCTGTTAACTTAATGATAAAGCTTTCCCTTATGAGTTACGAAAATGCTCCTACTTCTTATACTGAACAAACAGGGCTGTCTATCTTCTTATAGATATTTGGTTCTCACAAGACAGCAATGGCACAATCAAATAATGATATTGTAGTTTATGATGCATAGCCATAAATTAAGCCAACAGCATATAAAAGGAATTACAATTAGCACAACCTTAAACATAATACAGCAGTCAAATGACACATGCACATTTATGTTTTACTGCTGAGCAAATACCTTTCATACTTTAAGTACATGTTATGTATTCATGCTCTTATTTAAGGTTTTATATGCAGGACCTTTACTTCTTGTTGAGTATTTTCATAATGTGGTATTGGTCTACTATATTACTTTTACTAAGGATCTAAAAACGACTTCTTCAACCACTGTTATAAAGCAAATACTATAAGGTGGGTAAAAAGTGTTTCAAAGTAAAGCTTTGTTGAGCTGAAAGTGTTGACTTTGTTTTGGGAACACTTTGTTAGGAAGCGTTTTTTCTTTTTTTGCAGAGACTTGCTAAGACATGCACTAAGGCTGCCTGTCTGAATCATGACATCAGGCAGCAGCGTTGTCATTTTGCACACAGCGGAAACTTGTAAACGCACTTTAATATAAAGATTGTGTGCTTGTATCTAGCTGTTAGATTTCAGGTTTTATAGCCAAAATAGTAAGACAACATGTCCGTGAAGCCAGTTACTCACACAACACACGGGGGGGTGAAGTGAGCGAGGATGCATCAGTCAGTCGTGCGGCTCCCAGCCTGACGAGTCCAGACAGCACCGAGCATTTTATCCGCCTTGCAGCTTCAATATCCCGGGCTGCACTGCTGGGGCGACGGGCTACCTCGGTACCGGCGATGCTGGAGGGTCGCTTTCTCTCCGGGTTCAACACATAAACCGCTTCAAAAGTTATCCCCGGGCTTCAGGAGCAACAGTGTAAATGCGTTGCACAGAGACCGACGTGGCAAACCCGCACCTCCTCTCTTTGCGACGTCATCGACAAGCGACTTCACTGCACAGTCGCAGTTTGACAAAACACACGGCTGGTCTGAAGTCAGTGCTGATTATAACTTGTATTAATGGTTGTTTTAATTATAAATAACAATGTTTTGAGTTATGACCAGCATATTTCTAACTAACAAAAGAACAGTGTACTTTTACCGAAGTATTGCAGTATACACATTTACATTATAATGTTTATAAAAGAGCTCTTTATATGCACAGTATGCTTTTCAGTGTAAGGAAATTCAATGGCCTGTTATAAGAGGTGCATTTTCATATAGTAAATATATTGCAAACAGTGGTGTGAAGTAATTAAGTAGATTTACTCATGTATTGTACTTAAGCACAATTTGAGATACTTGTACTTTCCTTATGCATTTAATTTGTTTAGCTACTTTGTACTTCTACCCCACTAAAGTAATTTGATATCTTAAGTTGCTTTGCAGATTTTGATTAAAGATGTGAAATATAATCAACACTTAAATAAAACTTTAGTTATGTAACTACACCTGGAGTAAATTCACAATCTACCCTGCAGTATACAAAGTTATTAATACTAGTTGCACCTTTACCAGCTTTGATAACACTTTAATGCATCAATAATTACATTCAAAACATAAAATATATATTATTCCAAAATAGACCAATTTGCATCATGAGTACTTTAACTTTTGGTATTTTAAGTTTATTATGATGCCAATACTTGTTGATTGCAGGCATTTTACTGGTAACAGAGTATTCCTTCACCCTGGTACTTCTACTTTTTTACAAGATCTTATTAGGGTTTCCACATATGAGGGCAAAACATATAACTTTACAAGAAGAGAAACACATTTTGTTTCGAAACACAGTATACACTCAGTTTCCTGTTTATTATGTAGGATACATCCACCTGAAACTAATCCAGTGCAATACAATTAAATAATCACTTGTATAATCTAGAAGATTTCTAATCAAACCACCTGACCAATGTACAGTAATTCTTTCACTAGAAAACTAAAGTAGACCTTTGGAAGATCTTTTAAATACATCTAAAAATAACACTCTACAAAACATACACGGCTGTGATATATAAATATAGCCTTCACTTTCTTAAATACATAGCATACAAAATATTTTATTTCAAATTGCCTTAGTGCCTCGGAATACACAATACCTTTTTTTCTTTATTATGCAATGTTTTCTATAATGTAACATTTGTCATGCATCTACAAATACAAGTTCAAATGTGTTATAGAAAAATAGACAGTCTTGTTTTACGCAGAGGGTAAACAGTTTATTTTCAATATTGATAACAGAAACTGACTGTACAGTGTAAAACACTTAAGTGAAATTAAAAAACCTTAAAAACATAAATGGGAGTCAACCATTGTAATTCCATGATTAACGTATTTCTGTTGTATCTCTGATGGATCATGTTTAAAGCAAAAGGTAGAAAATAAAATAGGTACATTTCCCAAACTGTACACCAACAAATCACATGTTCCTATTGTGCTTAATTTAAAAAGAAAATATACACTTTTTGTGCCTGTAACATTGTTGACATAACTTTCTGTCAACAACATGTACATTACTTATTTACAAAGTGTTTACAGTTATTCATAAGAAAGTGTAAATACTTCATTAGTCATATGTACAAAAGGGTTAAAAATCACAATCATTATCTGACCAGAGTCTAACTGCATCCACCTTTTCCTTCAAAACATTAGCATAACAAATACACTTCAAGAAATCCAAGTGATGTAAAAAATTACAATTTACAAACATTAAACTTGTAATATGTCTTAATATACTGGCTGTTCGAGTCATTTCTTCTCCACTTAATGTTTCATGGTGTCATTAAAACATAAGAATCAACTGTATGACTGCCAAACAAATAAGGTTACGAGAGAAAAACATTAAAAGCCAAATAAAACTATCAAACAGGAGGCATTATTTCAAATCTTAATAAAACAATGAACCAGCAGAGGGAAATATTATCCCCAAAATAGCTCTATTAGAAGACTTTTGCAGTTTTCTTACATCAATATCTAAAAACGCAAACCAATCATATGGGTATCATTTAGGTTTTCTTCCTACATCTTACATTTGCGTTACCTCCTGCACACCTGAGGAATATTCACATTATATAATTCCTTCTGACAACTTTGGTTGAGTTGGTTCATGAATAATTTTTAAAATTAAAATATTGGCATTAAAAAGTTTACCAGTAGCCAAAAAACAAGGCTCCAGGTTTTAGGGAGGTGTGCATGTTCTCTGGAGCAGAGGTCACAGGGCTTTTCACAGCTGCAGCTTTCAGATGACGATGCTGGTGCCACTGCGAGAACTCTTGCCCTGAGAGAGACATACTAACTTTAGATTCACTTCACCCACATCACTTGTTTTATGTAATCAAATGTTTCAAGGTGTGTGCGTTTGTCTTGACGTAAGTGCGTTGTGTGCGTCTACAGCTAAAGCATTGTGCGTCTAGAGTAGTGTTCATTCCTCCGTGCTCCTGGTTTCTTTCCAGGTTCGTACTCGCTGTAGATTGGAGGTTGGTCAACCCAGCCTCCACCTCCACCTCCACCTCCTCTCCTCCCTCCTCCTCCTCTCCTGCTGCTGCCCTCATCATCCGAGCTCCAGGACCCTCTTCTGGAGTGCCGTGATGCTGGAGGAGAGTGGTTTCCTCTGGACCTGTTGTCAAACAGGTCGTCCCTGGAGCGGGAGCGGGGCACCATGTCCCCTTTTGGACGGCTGCGCCTGTTCCCGTCTAGGGACTCCTCGCTGTAGCTCCTGGGAATCCCTCTGGACGGGGAGGGGGAGACGTTACGCCTGACCACCTGTCCTCGCTCATCACGACGGTCAAAGCCGCTGCGGCTGCTCTCGCTGGAGCTGGGGGGCCGAGTCCTTGGTGCAGGGGGTGCAGTTCTAGCTGGTGGCTGCTCTCTTATTGGTGGAAGTGTGATGACGCGGTGCTCTGTTGGGCCATCATCCAGAGCAGAGATCATGCTGGGAGGGCCAGGGGAAAATGGGACGTGCTGGGACATGTGCTGGGGAGGAGGCATCTGCTGCATGTGAGGTGGGGGCATCTGCTGCATCATGTGAGGTGGGGGCATCTGCTGCATGTGAGGTGGGGGCATCTGCTGCATGTGAGGTGGGGGCATCTGCTGCATGTGGTGCTGTGGAGGAGGCTGGGACTGATGGAAAGAAAGAGAAACAGAGAAGCAAAATTAAGTTCTGATTAAAAAAAATTGTTCTGTGTGATCAAAACCAGACCAACTACTCATGGCACAAACACAGTGGCACAGAGTAGAGTTCTACATTTGTAACACCTTCAAGTCCAAATTAAGGAAAAATGCCTCAGACACTTGCCCAATTTCAAGCAGCTTTCAAAAGGCAAAGCAGGTACATCTAGGTGACAACACAATCAGCATTAACTGCTTTCTTTCATCAGTAATGAATTGCAATTAACCATGAAAGGAAACGTTTAATACTATAAATAAAGACTAAAGTAAAGTAAACAGGAATCGTAGCCATTACTGTTTTAGGCAAGGCACATTTATTTATATAGCAACTTTCAATACCTTGCAATTCAAGGTGCTTTACAAAAATGAAAGACATTAAGAAAATGGCATTTGAAAACAGTCATTAAATATAAAGAGTTGACAAAATAATCCGATGCTCCTCTGTTAACATTAACACATTTGAGAACAAGAGCGGTTACCTGCATCAGAGGGCTGGCCATGTCTATCCCCCTCACCTGGCCCTCCAGGTAATCCAGCATGTGATTAGGGGTGTGCGTGCCATGAGCACTGGGAGGGGGCATGCTGTAGGCTGAAGAATGGGGAGGGGGGAGGGGCATGGACTTCATCGGGATGCTCTTCCCTGAAACAGATCCTAGAGGGAAGAAAACATTTACAATTTATTTTATTTGGAGACATGTATGAATGAATACATATCTAGAATATTAATAAGGATTAGTTGCGTAGCGCGTGTGTTGTGTGGTGTGTGTACCTGCGTAGAGCAGTGGGTTCATCTGGGAGCCATTACTCATCTGTCCATATAACGGCTGCCCCCCCATCCAGGGAGCCATGGCCCTCTGAGCATCCTTCATCATACGATGTTGCATCACCGCTGAAACAAGAGCACATGCTTTAATATTCATCAATACAGGCAGATGTTCACTAAGTACACAGACTTTTGCCACTGATGCTGATTTCCAAAGCTCATAAAAAGCTTTCCGAGTGATGATACCGATTTTGGTTTTGACCAGAGCAGTATAAAATCCTAGTTGCAGGAATATGTTTAAGAAAGGTCTGGGTTTCTTCCAAATCTCTTTTAAAACGATACTCACACACCCATTTGGGCTGTACACTGGGAGAGTTTATTATGACCATTTCTCCTAACCATGAGTGGATACCTTCTTTAGATAATTGGACATAAAGTGATTAGGGACATACATTGAACATTGTAAATACAGTCCATCAAACTGTATTTTTGGGCATTTTATTTAATATTTTTTTGGAAGTTCTTGTGACATTTTACATATATTTATTTTTGGATATTTTTTCAGACTCACTCAAACGTTTTAATTTGACAATTTCCGTTTTGTTTTTACCTATTTTTCCAAGTCTTCTTATATTATTCGTTTCAATGTGGTTATATTCTTTTTTTATTACATTTTTTTAATTTTTGTTATATTTTTCAACCATTTACTCATATTATTTTGTACACGTTTCAAACATTTTACTATATTTTCATTTTAAAGGGGACCTATCATGCTAAATGCACTTTTGTACGTCTTTTATACATGCATATGTGTCCCCGGTGTTCCAGGGAACTCACCAAGTGTCAGAAAACACAACCCTCTCTATTTTCCTCCATACCCAAATCTCTAAAAAAGGGGCTGCAACGGATCTGATAAAAACTGATCCAGATTTGAACACTTCTATGACGTCACAGAAGTGGCGCTACGGCTATTGGACCAACTCTCCACCTATCAGGGGAATGTGGGGTTGGACTACGGCCGGCCATTGCCGCTCGAAAGCTCTGGAGACGCTGTAGTACATATGCCAGGCCTGTAAGTGGCGCTGTAGTCTGCCACAAAAGCAGCGAAGAAGACTTCCCGCCCATAGTTACCATGGTTACCCTTCTGTTTATTCTCCGCTGTGGCTTTTTTTCTCCCTCCCCGAGGCAAGCGTTTGCTCCCGCTGCTTTAATTCAATGTAATCCCTCCCCGTCGAGGCAAGCACTGTAATTCTCTCCGGTTAGTCCACCAGCAGAGGACAAACACCCACCTCTCCGCCTCTTCCAAGGAACGAGGGGACTGTGCGGCAGAGTTTCAGTTTCAGTTTCTTTCGCCGGTCAAGATGTCCGTTAAAGTTTAAATCTTCCGGACAAAATTAGAAAAGTGCCGGTCAAAGGTCTTCTTTGTTATTTATTGAGCTTTAAAACAAATGAATAACGACTCTATAGGCCTATAACAATATAATAAAACACGGAGGACGGAGATCTTTTTTTCTCCCCCTCTTGACTTGATCAGAGCACGGCTCCCCTCTCCTGCAGGGGGACGTGGTCAGCTGCAGCTCACAAAATCAGCCCCGTAGACAGCAAACAGCACATAGAGCGAAATGAGGCATGGCTAAAATGCATGATCTGTTTGGTATTTTGAAAACAGAAACGTATAAATATACCTTATATAGGTATGGCCCTACAATATATCATTTAAATATAGCATGATAGGTCCACTTTAACTTATATTTTCCAATATTTCTTAAAATTAACAATTCTTTTTCCATGTATTTCTGACAACAAGTTGTGACTTAAACATTCTCATGTGTTGAGCATCCTCAGGGCACAAACAAGGACAGTTTTCTAAATGGAGCTCTGCTTTCTACCTTTTTCAGGACAGCAGCATTGCTCCGGGCAGCAGGGACAGCGGATATAGCAGCAGCATCTCTGAGGGCAGCACTGGCAGCAGCAGATACAGAAGAGGATGATGAGGAGGAGGGCTCCGATGACAATGAGCAACACTGTCAACCAGTCTGAGACAGGAGAGAAAGAGGCACGTCTTGTTAATAGATATGTCCATGATTTTGTTCTAGTTCCTATTGGAAACATTTAGGTTTAAAAAAAATCAAGAGTAGACACTATGGAAATTCACCATTTGGGGCTACAATAAAATCTGTGAGTATATCTTTGACAAAAATGTTTCTTTCCGTTTCTTACGGTAAACAATGAGTTTGATTTCTTTGTCAGAGTCTCCTGAAGTGTCTCCCGAGGCGTCGACAGAGCAATAGTACACACCGTTGTCCCACCACATCACCTCAGTGATCACCAAGTCTGCCTCTGTACAAAAACACACACAGCGACACACATCAAACAATGGTCAGCAACTTTGAAACAAATAGTTAACATGGCCTGTCATCACTTCACCGAACATATAGTTTGTGATTTCTCTTAGAAACCCAAACATCTGATTAGTTAATTAAAATAGAGTTATTAAGACACTGATAGTTTTATTTTAAATCGCCCTCACAAATAGGGTGAGCCTGGTGCCGATAGTGTTTGAATAAACTCACTGTTTTGGATGGTGATCCTGCGTTCCCGATATTCGGGTCCCAGCGTGGGTTCATTGCTGCCTTTCTTCTGTATCACTGTGCGGACTGTCCGCTGGCGGTCAGGACAGTCATTTGCAGGGTCCTGTCCTAACTGTAGTGCGGATTGGTACGCTGCAAAACAAGAAGCAAAGTTTACATTAAAACAATCTCTACAAATACTGGATGGATGAGTTAGTAGCAAATACATCCATGGGGCCCAGAGAGTAAGTCTTTAACAAAAAAAAGTCCCCACATCTCAAGTCAAGGATTTTATGTGTCTTTTAACATAAATATGTATTATCAATGTGAGCCCATCATTTAATTTCCAACATGTCTTATCTGTTATTGCTTTTAATTATTTTTTTAATCACTTTAGGGTATTTTATTGTCATGTTTTACTATTGTAATTGTCTGTTTTTTTTCCATTGCTATCCTGAAATGGTATTGTTCCAGAGTCAACCCAGTGAAGCACTTTTATTACATTGTTTAAAAAGTGCTGTATTAAAAAAAAGAGTATTTGTCGTATGACCATGACGTGTAGTGCAGTTCAGCATGGCCTACGCATTAAGATTGCTCTAAAAGATTAGAGTAAAAAGTAAGACATATAGATTCGAAATATATAAACATATGTAAAAAAGTACATGACAACTATTAAATAAATAGTACAAATGTGCAGAGCAGTGCAAACAAATGCACACATGACAATTTGCTTAATAATGGGATAGTTGCAGCCTTCAACTACACTACTTTAATTCATAGTAACTGAAATAAATACCCCATTGATTATGAGGTTTTACATTGTGGGATTGATGAATATTCAGAGAGAATATAAGACTATTTATATAAACATGAGGGCTCCGTTTCCTTTCAGCAGCTCAGTGAGAATAGTGTACCCTCTGAGACGTGTGTTGTACATGGAGTGCAGGTTGTGTTACCTGTGGAGTAGTACTCCAGCACGGGGTCCTTGCAGAAGGACTTGAACCTCCAGGTGAGCAGCACATCCTGGAGGTTAGCAGAGGTGGAGTAGTCACAGCGAAGGGTCACTGAGGCAAACAGGGTTGTGCTGCGGTCCTGCTCAGGAACGTTCACCTGAATACACACCGAAACTGCAGGGAGACACACACAACAGATGATTACGCACAGTAGTCTGTGTATTTGTGTAAGAATGTATAACGCTATCTCTATAAAAATAAGCTGGACATTATGAGCCTAGATAGGCTAGAGTTGCCAAGAGTCAAGTAGGAAATTGTGTGGTCAGACAGAAACAATGTTTGAGAGGGTTTCTATCTACTGAGGTGCTTTTTTACATAGTGGCAGAACCAGAAAAACAGGTGACACGAACAAAGGCACAGGAAATGTCTTGCTGTGAAACTACCAGCCAAACATTCAGGAGCTGGAATGAAACCTGTTAGGTTCATCTGACCCTAAATGTGGACAGGTCTCAGAACATTAGCTGGAAAATCATCTAGGTTACAGTTCATAAACGTATATACCAGAGTAATTATCCAAATAAAATAAAAAACAACATATATGAAATATAAAATAAGCACAATAGGGCTTTCTCTATCCCCAAAATAGACCTTCGTTAGAGTCATCCTATTCACGCCGGCTGTCTTTATGACAAACAAAATGATGCGACAGATAGTTTAGTAAGTTTAATTTGATATTTTGACAAACATCCAATTCATTAGCAGGTTCAGTCGAGAGCACGAGGCTAACTTTTCATTAATGACAATTACCTTTGAGAAGCGACAGCAGGAGGACCGCGGCCGCTAATCTCCGCATGGTGACACAAGAACACTGTGAAAAAAGTTGGAAATAAAACACCTCGGATGAAAAATCAATAAATCAATAAAAGAAGAGATGAAAAAACTAAAAATAGACCTATAATCTAATCGAAGCGTTACACACAGCTGCTCACTGTATCGTCCTGATCAGTGTGTTTTTGCGGTTAATACCTGAGCCTGCAGTCACCTCTGGCCACACCCCGAAACAGGTGAATTCATCCTGTGACGTAAACACATGCACCGAAGTCTCCCCCCCCCCCACCTTATAAAAACAACACAGCAGTGTATCCTTCTTATAGCTATTTGTAAAGCCACGTGACGTGTGTCTCTTTATTTATACTTCATTCGTCTACAGCAGGTGCATAATAAAAACACATTGGAGATGCCCTTGATCCTAAGAGCATCTTAATTCCCAAAGCTGATTCATGGCATGTCATATTGACCAATGGACATGTACTTTACACCAAACAAGACACAAAGATATCATCATAAATTAGGATTCATTCACTTTTAACCTATAATTGCAATCAAAAGCCAAAGTTATATGAAATTATTATTGTGAAAATGACATGACTTGCACTTAAAGTTAACCCTAACCTAACATGACAAATATCAGCACAAAAACGTGGTGGGAAATGTAGTGATATTATTTCATAGGAAGAAAAAACGTTTTGATTATGTTCCTTACAGTAGTTACTATTTGACATCACAGATGCTGTACTTTCGTTTAACACTTAAATGTAACTCTTAACAAAAACCACTAGAGGTCAGCCTAAACTTGTTTTTATGTGAGTGACATTTGTTATTGTGTGTTTTCTGTTTGACTGTTGGAATCTCAAGAGTTTAAACTAGGGAACAAAGCTTTTCATTTCCTGGAGATACATGCTATTAGAACGTTTCCTCCTTCATAGACATCTGAGGCCACATCTGCATATGAATGGGACCTCTGTGTGTCTGAAGTGCTTTCCAAGTCCTTCATTTTAACAAAGTGTTTTCCCTGTAAGCACACCCACAGTGCACCTGCAGGCCTTCAGAAAAACTCCTGCCAAAGATCCCCTTTCTGCTGTGGCCTTAATGTGAAAACACCATTGCACCGTTGTTATGCATTATATTAATACAGTATAGTAGAGATGAAAACGTGTAATTGATTCACCTACACTGAAAACAGGATGTTGCATTAAATGTGCCTATCAGTATGCCAGTTCATTTGAAACTATATCTGCCTGAAGCCATATCAACTCTACGAACGTACATTTCAAAATGAAAAGGACTGTCAAGTTATAACAATGAACAAAGTACAATATGTATATATTAATATATATATACACATACAATTCTGCATGATAAATTACTCTTGTACTTGTGTCTGCATATTTCTATGGTTTGGTATTGCCACTTACAGTATATCACATTAAAATATCAGAGTACGATTCCTCCACTCTATTTAAGTTGTTTTCAAATCCTGAGCATTTTTCTATATGCATATATGTTTATGACTTATTGAGCGTCCATAAGTAACATCATAGGTGCTATTTATTAAAAGCAGCCAACCAAATGTCATCATGTTTTATTTCAAAGGTTTTGCTAAATTCTGGTTGGTATGAAACATTCCAGTCTAACTTAAACCAGCAAGCGGAGCACATATAAAAACAATCCTGCTACTGCACGGTGAATGGTGATGTCATTTTCCTGCTAATGTCTCTGTAAAGGAGGAAGTTTCTCAACAACATTCCTGACATACTCTCCAGCTGTGAGTGGCCGCCGTCTTAACCAATCTCTCCCATCACAAACATACATCATCAAACCCACGTCTCTCTCTCACAGGACAAACACAAAACCAAAAGTCTGTTTCTGTGCGTGTCATGGAAATATCATTTTGTGCAGTGTTTTATTATCTAATCATCCATGTAGTGGTAGAAGAAACATTTTCGACAACTAAGTAAAAGCACTAAATTAAAAGTAGTCCTGCTCTTCAGTTAATATCAGGTAGAAGTCGATTAGTATTATTAGCAAATTAAGATGTCCAGTAAAAAAATGTTGTCACCGATTTAGTTCATTTGAATTTCAAATGTTTCTTTATAAAACCTTAATTTAAAACCCCATTACATTCTTAGCTCGAGAAAAGTTGATTTCTGTTTTTTGTTGATTACAATAAGGCAGATTTTATGTTATATATTGTTAGGAATTTACATTTGAAGTAATGTATTATTTATGTTAGTTCATAATAACTACAAAGCAACTATTATCAGAAATACTAAAGAAGTACAATAAATGGCTGTACTTCAATAAACCATCACATCTTGAACTTAATCAGTTGAACACATCCATTACTTCTGCTCAACCTATTTACCGAGATAAACAATTGTTTTTAAGTCTTTGTTATGCCAATAAAAAATGACTTAATACACAAAAGTTTCATAACATAGTGTTTATGTGGAAGACAAAACCATTGTGAAAAAGACAGGCAGTCTGCGATTTCAACAATGAACAAAGACATGAGTCATACTCAATTACACATTGTCTCCTTTACAGAAAAGTAAAGAGTCATCACACACGCACGCGCGCGCACACACACACACACACACACACACACACACACACACACACACACACACACACACACACACACACACACACACACACACACACACACACACACACACACACACACACACACACACACACACACACACACACACACACACACACACACACACACACACACACACACACACACACACACACACACACACACACACACACACGCAGTCAGTACCAGTCAGTAGAAAACAGAAATAAAGAAATACTGTTTGGTCTAATGTTAGAACAACATAAGTTCAAATCAGTGTGCTACTGTGTGTTTTGTACATGCATGCTTGTGAGTGTGTCTGTTGATAAGAAAAGGCTGAATTACACTTATCAAGCCGCGGCACTTCATGTTATATATACAGTCGCACTGGAAAGTTTAAACAAACATTATTATTTTCAAATTACATTAACCATATCACAGCACACATAAGTATGTCCAATTTGCTGTAGTACAAACATATTTTAAAAGGCAGGTGGGACTGCAATGCCTTTAAGGTTTACAAAAAAACATTTAATCAGGTTTTAGTTCCTTGGAAAAATAGCTACTTTGTGCAAACTCAGCCAGTTTTAATACAAGGTGCCTCATGAGTAATGATTTAATTTAATAACCTGCAGGCAACTGCTGGGTAGTACTGGTTCAGTCAGCAGGTTTAGTACTGGTTTAGTCTATAACCGGATTCATTTAGTACTTTTTAGTGATCTCTGTGCTTCATGTCATGAACTTAAGACTGTCATGACTGGCACTCCCGTTGTTTGGCCTCTTCAGACCTGTTTCAAATGTACAGAAATAAAAATGTTATGGATGTTTAGCTGGTAAATGTTACATTGTGACATTAAACCATCTAATTTTCATTCATGATTCCTACAGTTTATGGCAAAATAGATTAAAGAATTTTTTGAATGCCACTTGTTGTTAAATGTCAAAGCAACTTAACAACAACTCTGCATGTTGGATAACACTGCCTTGATTACCATTGTGTAGTGTTTAAAACATTTCCTGCATTAAACACAAAGCGCCTAGTCTACAATACCTAGTCCTACCTAGAGGTTAACGTGAAAGGCATTCAGTAAATTATTTTAAAAATAAAGTATTTTTACTTTTCAAATTGCAATGTTGGGCATTTTACCACCAATTAAAGCCTTATGTTGCAGAATGAATTAAATGCATTATACGAGTTTCAAAGAATCTGAGGGAAACCCTGTGAATGACAAAATTAGTTAAATAAAGGAAACATTATTAATATTTTGGCCACATGGGGGCCATAAATGGAGCTGTACGTTGGCATATCATCCAATTATGAAGTAGTTATGGCAAATTATTTAGTGTTGATTTGCTATGTACACATCCAGCAGACACAGAGCAACATGATAAGATATTTGGTCTAGTATTTGTGTCCAGCTCATCAATTTAAGTTAAATATTCACTCTCTTTTAACTCTGAGAAATACCTGGCACTTTAGCTGATAAGTTCTCCACTGTGTTCACCAGGTAGATGCTAACTGTGTCTGTCTGCTGTTTGTTGCTTAGCAACTCCCATAAGGTCTTTAGCATCAATAGAACAAACTCAAACGCTTCTTTGAGGTTTTTACATTAGTCTCCGGAGCTACTCTGTAGATACACAGGATATAAGCCTTTGGTATTAGTTACAACTTCCACTTTTAGTTAACATAACATTAAAATACATTGAGTTAGATGCTGTAGTTCCTGAACATGTTAGTGAATGACAGAGTGTGTGTTGTCACTCAGCTGAAGCTGCAGTATGTCCTTTACAATAATGCTGTTGTCATAAACCCTTTTTCTACAACTGGGCTTATTTAAAGGCGATAGCTCATCAAGTGGAAATGAATGCAGTCATTGTGCAGGAGCGTAAAGCAAGTCTTCTCTAAAGGGACGGCAGGAGACCAACAGCGTCCTGCAGGGACGGACAGTCCAGGTCATACCCCCGGCCTGCATGTGTACAATGTTAGCTCAGCTGAGATGTATATGAGGCAGCCGGTGACACAAACTGAACGGGGATGACTTCATCATTCAGCGACGTCACAGGCAGAAACCCCAGTGACAGTCTCCATGGTAAAAGTGTGTCATTCGTTCATTTACCAGTGCTGATCCAGCTTTCCCTCACTGTCATTTGCATTTTTTATGCAATCCAAATCATTTCTGTCTCCCATCAGCTGACACGCAGCTCCCGTAGAGTCTGTGCTGAGCATTCAGCTTGTGTGGCTCTCAGTCCGTCAGACGATGAGGGAGTCCCGGCTGAGAAGAGTGCCCTGCTGAGGACAGAGACAGAGATGAACACAAGAGCAGAGAGTTCACAACTAAATATGAACATGACATTTTTAATGGAATGAGTAATTGCAAAATGTCTATCGGAGGGCGGTGATATGCGGCGAGCCACCAAATGTATTTCTTTTTTGCGGCTGGGAGGCATTTTCATGTGTTTTACATGCAACAAAGGTCATCAGTTTACTGATTGGCTGCGGGTACTCTCTCACCAAACTGTGATGCAAAAAGTATATTTATCCCAAACGTTTTGGTCGCAGGAGGATTGGCCTCCGCTGGTAGCTCACCCAAAGCCGTACTACACCCCTCTCCGATTAGATTTCAGCGTAAAAAAAGTAAACATTAGCCAAACAGCGTTATTATGGTGAAGCTGGGACAAACTTCAATTCAACTGTTTTTGTAATTGTGGAAAGATTTGGTTGTGGCCCCTTAAAGCCATTATATCTTTTGTACACAGTGTATTTGACGTTGAACATCATTTTGACCCAGGTTTGTCAGCATGGAGACAACCAGTTATGATTGTTATGGAAAGTAGTGGGATACAGAACAGAGTATTCTACCTAGTTTTCACTGTGGTAGCATCTGAACCTGACCTGTCAAAGGTACAACAACAACAACACTTACTTTACATGTCTGACATATATAATCTCTTCTTTATATCGTTCTTAAACCATCAGAGAGTTATATCCCCAATGCTGTGACCTTTTGCCACCTGGCTGTATTGTACAGGTACTAAATGTAACCCCTCTTTCCTCCGAACAGAAAGCAGGTTTTGGAAATACAACATTGAGTGTTAAACACTTTTCTGTTAGCCTAGTGTTAACATTTTCATCAATAATACACCTAGAAATAATAGTTTCCAATAACCAGAAAAGATGCTAGCCTACCCCCCCTCACACTCATAATAGAAGGCTTTATGTAACACACCGTTTTCCGGGTCTTGTCTCTGGGCTCCTCTCTGTGGCCCGGCAGCGAGTTAGCCGGAGACTGAGAGGGGCGAGGGTTCAATGGCGGGGGGCGCGGGGACGGCCTCTCAGTCCTGCTTCTCTCTGTGTCTGAGCAAGGAGACAGTGAATCTGCCTCAGGCCTGTTACTGGGCGAGCGGCTGCAGTGTCGACTGGAGTCCCCGCTGCTCTTTTTCGAGCTACCTTTGGAGGGTGTGTCTGAATCCTCCTCCCCCCGGGCCCCACCCTTCCCCTGGCTGACCCCTCGCAGCTGAGCCTTACGGTCCAGCAGGCTGTTTAGGAACGTGCTATCGTAGTCCTTCTCTTGAGAAGAGGTCGATGGAGGACTGACTCTGGGAGGAGGTGGGGCAGGACGCTCGCTGTCCCAGGTGCCCCTCCTCTCCTTGGGCGACTGGAGTGGGCTTATGTTTCGTCTGTGATTCTCTTCAGGATCACTGTTGTCTCCAAACTCATTTTCTTCATTGTGATAATGCTGCGGTGGACCGTTACGATAAGAAGGATATCGACTGAACTCCTGAAGCTCCATCTCATTGTCTCTTCGGCTGTCTTCCCTTTTCTGTTCCCCCCTTCCTTCTTTGTGCTTGTAACCTGCAGCAAACTCCTCCAGCTCATCCAGAGAGCCGGTCCGTCCCGCAGTACGGTACGACTTTCTGTGTAGATGCTCTGAACGTGGGTTCCACCTGCAAAAAACAACAAGAGGCCGACAGGGTGAGAGAGGTGACATGGGAAAAAAAGATAAAGAGAAGGTCAGCAAGCTTTTAAATATTGTTTATATATATAAATATATAAAGAATCTGTTTTTACACTGCTTAAGTAAATAGGTTACAGTTGGCTTTAAACAGTAACCCTCAAGGCTTAAACACCATGTTCTGTATACAGGAACACATTTTCTGTAATCCGTTAAAGGATCAAATTAGCTTGATTTTCCCTGCTCAGTTTCCCCTGGAGAATGCCATGTATTCAAATAACGGAGTCACTGATTGTGTATTTTTGGCAGGACAAACACTTAATTTAAAATAATCACCCTCAAAGTCCAATAATAAAGGCTAAATAAAAATAAAATAAAAACTGACTCTACAAGTCTAACATCTTTCTCTCCTGTCTAGGTCACCATCATTCTGCTCTGACACAAATAGCAAACAAAGCTGTGTCTTGTTAAAACAAATAAGCCTTGCTTCTAAAGTAAAGTTAGTTTACTTTAAATGCACACAGACATGTGTCTACACATATCTGTACCTGTTGTGGTGGTCTCCCTCGCTATGATCCTGTTGCCGTTGATGTCGGCCGGGCCTGCGTGACTGTGAGGGGGGGGGGGTCGTCGCTGTACCGCCGCGGGGGGAGAGACTCTTCCTGGCAGCGCCGGGGCTCTGCGTCGGGGTCATCACGATGTCGTTGGGGTGAGGAGGGGTTGTCACGGTAACGCGGCGGCTCTGGGCTGCGGTTGTCACGGTAGCGCTGGGGCTCAGGCTGAGGGTCGTGGTCCGGGATGGCGGGGAGAGCTTTCTTCTGGACGTTCCGGTATGTTTGGCGGAAGCCGCTGTCTCCCTCGTGGAGGGAGCTCAGCTCAGACAGGCCACAGGCTGGTCAGGTCAAAGTAAACATATATAAATGGATTATATATAATAGTATTAAACATAACATTACTTTTTAAGGGAAGCAAGGCAATCATAAGATATTGCAATAGAAGAAAGACAGATTTGAGATCTGCAAGCGATTACACTACCTGTTGGAAAGGGTTGTTTAAACATTCTTCAGGTGAGTAGGCATGCAAGCAAGCAAATATACATATCTGAACTACAGGAAATTGAATAAGCAAGTGCTTGTGCAGAGAGGCATGCCAAAGCAAGCTTTAAAAATACTGACAGTAGAGATAGTGTAGCATGCATTTTCTATTGAGTGCCTCGCCATGCTAAAGAAGATGCAGTCCACATGGTCAGAGAGAAAATCCACAGACGGCTTTATGGAGCTTACACTGGGGGCTGATGGACCTGGCAGGGTGGAAGTGAGCCAATTGTTTCTCTACATACTGAAGCACCCTGAGAGATTCCTGATCCTGAGGTGAAGGCCCGCGGTAGGGAAACCCGACAGCATGCATCGGAACTACAGATACACACCATCAGCATGGAGAAACTGTCCTTGTATGTGTTTGTTGTGGATTGAGGGCAACTGTAGTACTTGTGCTTGTTATCTATTTCAACATTTGTATTCTACTACAATTGTTTCTGGCCATAATTAGAGAGTACAATCGTTAATATGCAGTCATATAAGAACACACACAAGTTACAACATTCTCACAAGAAAATAAGAACAGGAGGTAACATTCCTCATAACACATGTATACAAAGGCATCCATTTTATATGAAGTTTATCTTGTGAATTGATCTAAACCAAGCAAATCCATAAAGACAACAGTAATAAGGCATTGTAATAATAGTAAAAACACAGATTCACTCGCTAATAAAGAGAAAGCCCTCACTTGCTGTAAGAACGCTGCCATCCGAAGGGGGGACAGAGGACATCTTGTCCACCAGAGAAGGGGGTGCGATTGGGACCATCGTCGGGACACCAGTGACAAAGTATGGAGGGTAGGCAGGCATCTGAGGGGTGGAGGTGCCCGTCTTTATACCCTTACCTGCCTCATATACTACAAGAACAAACAATGGCGTTCACATAAAAACATCTTTCCAATATTTGTATTGCAATTCACTTTTGCACCAGCATATGAGTGTGTGTGTGTGTGTGTTTATACTGACGGTGTCTTGGGCAGCAGCACGTGTCGGGGCAGCACCAGCAGCTGACGTAGCAGCAGCAGGAGTGAGGACAACACTGACACCAACAAACCCCGACCAACAGCAGGAAGAGGAGACTGCCCAGCGCCACCGCCGACACAAACACCCACTCTGCAAGGACACACAACACAGAATATTAAGATACAAGACATTTAAAAACAGGATGCAACACAATGCAACTCCACCACAGACAGTTTGTATCAGATATTGGTCTGTGTCATGCTAACAGAAGCTCATCAGCAGTGACTTTCCTTGAGTTTATTTTTGAGAATTTAAACAGCTTCCTCTGGAACAAAACTAAAAAATATATATTTATTGTTTTGTAATATGCAATAGTGATCCTCAAGAGCTGTAAATGGTGAATATTGTTGGGAGTATTGTTTGCTATGTTTCAATGTTACTTAATTGCAAGTCATTCAAAGGGAAAATGTAAATGAATGTGTTGAATGTCAACAGCAATATTATTTATTCTAAATAAACCTTTTTACAATCCCTCACCCTCTGGTAGCTAGTGTTACCAGTGTACTACATTTCTGTGATAACCAGAGAGGGTAACCAAGTTCTTAACCAAGATTGTATCCACAAAAAACTGCTTAAACATATTTCTTCCTGAATGCATGTAAGGCATTCGAAGGCCCAATGAAATGGTATAACTGGTTCCTTTACTGTGATATATAGGATGTTGGGATGGGACAATACACAAGGGAGAGACAGATAGATAGTTGAAATATATGTGTATTTTATCATTTGTAATTCTTCTCTTACTCTTGATACAATAATATCTGAACAAATGTAATCCTAACCAGGATATGAGTTAACACATTTTAACAAAGTGTTTGAGAATTCAAGTGCTGGAGTGAGTTACACAGCAAGTACAACAGATAACCTACATGTATCTGTCTACAGGGACAAAGCAGAGGAAAGGGAAGGAGAGGGCAGATAAGGAAATCTTTAACAATGCAAAACCAAGGACGACAATGTCTCTAAAAACACACACACACACGCAGGAAACCAGATGTTGCCAGAGGAAGGAAAAGGACAGTTTATACAGCTTTGGATGATTGTTATGTGATCTCATTTGCAACAACTATGACCCATACACACACACACAAACACACTACACATTAGACATTTCTGAGCACTGTGGGATTGGATGAGGACAACACCACATACTAATGCAACACTCAGAGCAGAGATAAGCTTGGAGTAACCATTCTGGCTTAGTGACTCATGCCAGGTCATTTTTGGAGTTACTTCCACACAATTCATCCATTCATTTAGCAACTCCCCACAAACTCTGTGATAATAAAATGTGTATTATAGGAATTTGTGATGGGACATAAACAAACCTCCTTCCCTCTTGATCACTGTTTAAGTGGGTAGTGTCCAAATGATGTGGGCTGACATGCCAACCACACCCATAAATAACTATAATGACCATAATAGCTGTTTTGCAGCACAGCTCATCGTGGTGGGAGCGACGGACGGACATTATCTGACGGGTGTGGATTTGACCGTTGGGTCAAAAATGACTCCAAACTCAACTCTGTCAAAGCCTCATTATAGCTGATTCACACATACATGTTGTATTGTTTAGTGATGCAAGAAGGGAATAGGTTAGACAGTATCAAAGCGTTAGCATAGGAACATTAAACATGGTGGAAAATGTGTTAGCTTCTCTTTATCAGATCAAGTGTCATATGCATGATATCAGAGCCCAGTCTTCTTTAAAGGTCACCTATTATGCAAAATGCACTTTTTGATGTCTTTTTAACGTGTGTCCCCGGTGTGTGAGGAAACTCACAAAGTGTCCGAAAATACAACCCTCTCTCTTTTCCTCCTTACCCACATCTCTAAAAACGGGGGTACAACGGAGCAGATCCAGATTTGCTGCGGTCATGACGACATTACTAAAATGTGGGCTGGCTTTACGTTGAACTCCTGGCAACGTTCCACTCAACCTATCGTCCCCTATCAGAGGGTCACTGTATCGGAAAAGATGCGCAACGTGTTTTGGAAGTAATATGGTCTTTGTTTACATTAGCAAGCATCGCTAACACTCAGAGCTAACGCTGTATTGGAGACCATCTGTGTAAAAAATCCGGATATAAAAAGGTACTGTCCTTGTGGCAGAGTCCTGCACGGGTCTGATTTTCAAGACCCGCTCCCGCCCCACACCCGCGACGTGCAATACCGTACCCGCCCCGCCACCCGCACATATTGCCAATTAGTTCCGCGAACCGACCCGTCGGCACAAGATCCAATTATTAACACACGCAGTTGCGTATTTGGCTCAAAAAGCGTGGGATGTTGGTTATTTTCTCCATCTAGGATGACACCAAAAGCCTCCCAGACGTTGGATTTCGCTCTTGAGGAAGAGTTGTTGACAATGCTGTATTCTCTGAGATCCGCCTTCACCTCAGCCATTTCGAATGTGGCGCGCTCAGCAGCAGATTGATGCGCTGCAGAGGTTATGATTATGCGCGGTCCCGCAGGGGAGAGGTCTGAGGATTTAAACATTAAACTCAATTATTATTATTTTAATATATTTATTATGCAAGACCCGCAACCCGACCCGCATCATCTTTGTTTTACCCAGAACCGTACCCGGAAAAAAGCGTTTGAAAAAATACCACCCGCGAATCACTTTTTTTGCGCCCGATGCAGTAAACCCGCAAGAAAGAAAGCGTTCGAGCTCCATACTGTTTCAGAAATAATTCTTGATGTGGTTTGGAACATACTTGGCGTTTAATCACGGCAGCGTTTAGCTGAGTTTCTGCTGGTAGACAGTCTTCTCTTCACAGAGGAGAGCTCACTGCTTGCATGACGCTCCATAGGGGGCGTGGCCACAGCAGCTCGGCAACATTAAAAGCTATAGACCCAGTATCAGCACCAGAGGTTGCGCTAGACCAGGGGTGCGCCATGTTATGCATGCCCACTGTACCTCGCGGGAGTGCGCACAGCGTAAAGCCAAAACTCACAGACATTTTAAGGATTTGTACGGCAAAGTTAGGTTTGGATTTGGAAACGGTATCATTTCCTTTTTGGAGGGCATGCATAACACGGCATAACACCGGAGCCTCGCTGCGGGGAAACTTTGGCGCTGTTCCGAGTTTGTTCTAATCTGTCAAAATGACGGACTGCTTTCAGATTTTTCCGTCATTGTTAAAAAATCCGTCAGACGGAAAATATTTGGTTAACGCGACCTCTGATCAGCACTTTAGTAACAGGGCTGAAATAGAGGGGCAATGAGGCATGGCTAGAATGGGGGATCTGTTTGGTATTTTGAGCAAAACACTTCAGAGACATGTTTTGTATAGATATGGCCCTATAATATATTGTTCAAATATAGCATAATAGGTGAGCTTTAAGTTTCGAATACAGTGTGGAAAAACTCCATCTCAAAGACTGCCACAATCCAAATGGCTCCTATATCCCTGGTTAGAGCAGTAAGTAGGGTTAGTATTATTGATAGAAACCAGGTAAGGGGAAGAATACATTATGCCCCTACCTGGCATAATCTTCAAATCAAATTCTGGCAGGAGATCTTCAGGCACAGCTGAGAAACCTGGATAGGGACAGAGCAGAGGTGACAACAGGAGAGAAGAAGAGATGGGGTGGATATAAATGATTGATTCATAGAAAGTTGTTGCAGCATGCATGATGAGAAAAGCAAGACACAAACAGAGAGGAAAATAGAGAGAAAGATGACAGTTTGCAGGTCAACAGCAGCATGCACAAGAGGACATTCTGGTCTTGTTCCAGAAAGTCTCCAGATCAGAGCAACTGATGAGTAGATTGATCATCTGAATTCTGATAACACATTGTGTAAGGTTAGGCCTCTGCTGAGAAGACAGACTGGAACATTGATCATTCTCATAAAGACAACAAATAGGCAGGAGCTGTGAGTATGCTTTATGCAGAGCGGCAAACGTTAGGTGGGGAAATTCCTCACCTAAAGATCCAGCAAACAGACAAACACTTTGTTGCTGAAATGATTTCTGTCTTTCTGACCAGTGAAGAGTGTAGAGGCTACTACATGTGACCTGGGGCACAGTAAGCCTATTATTTCTCATAATTTTTAAGCTCTCTTTAATTTGACAAATCAAATCCACTTATAAATTGAGAAAAGTTGCAATAAGCCAACTATCCACCAGAAGTTACGTCTCTACATGACTCGCCTCGCCTCACACATTTTCGTTTTCAACTTTATACCTCAGTTCTTTCAACAGCAACCAAACTGAGGTATTTCTGTTTCCAATTTGAGACACTGGAAGGAAACAAAGGCAGCAGAACAAAAAACACTGAGAGCAAGTTCATAAAGAATCTTTTGATTATATCCTACGTTTTTATCCTGGATTTATTCATTTATTTTTTACTGGATTTATGTATTTGGGTCTGCCTCCAGTATTTAAAAACATAAACAATAACATGTACTATGCCATATACCAATGACTAACAGAACTAAAAGTTAAGAAAAGAACATTTCTAGATATCTTGTAGTGTATATTGCAATATGTGTAATGGCTGATGAATTGGCTTTCAATCTTAATTGTTGTATATACAGTGGATTTATTCTTTTAAAAGACTTTACATCTGGTGTTTGTGGGAGTCAAAATTGATTGACTTCTATACATGAATGTGTTTTACAAAAAGAAAAGAGAAACATGACTGCCCTCACCAGCTGCCCGTGGTTGTTCCTGGTATTTTGTGTTTCCCCTTAATATTCTTTTTATTTTAACAAAGCTTTAAGAGACCCCACACAAGGTCAGCAAATGTCTGAATGAAACATTAACAGATAAGGGGGCAGCATGTCACAAGCTGGTACAAAAATGTGCACGAGTGCGCTTTGTTTGGGTGCATCTGTCCATGTGAGCAGTGCTTTGAGAAAGGGAAAAAGAGGTTGAGTGTGTTGTGAGCAGATACGGGTGTTTTACTGTTAATTTGCTGATTGGCGCAGAGAGGAGAGGAGTGCCGAGCGCGAGAAAGAAGGACTGGAGAAACAGAGAGCAGGCTGAACCATCGTGACCTGACACATACCTCACTTAGTATCTTTCTGGAAGGCTAAACATGTTCTTTGCTGGATTTGAAAACAGAAAGAAACCTCTTAAGTTTATCCAGAGCAGCTGAATCATGACATGAATTCAAACAACTAAGTGCTTACATGTGCACTAAATACTTTAAGCCTCCTCTAGTTTTGAATGTATCTGTTGTTTTGTCTGCTGTCTTGAAGGCAGCTTACTGGTGGAGGTCCCAATCACATGACTTTGCCTGCAGGCTGGTGATTTACCAAGATTTACTTTCAAATAGTGTTCTCCATGTGGCTCCATGTAACACTCCTCCATGGAAATGAGCTCTACAGAGAGGACGTATACTGAAAAGCTAAACACTTTGGACATTGTAAATAACCTGCCTGATTAATATTTGATTGTCCTATCAAAGTTTTGTTTGATTAGCATTAGCTTCTGAGGTTTGTAAGCCACAATGGGAGTCAAAACGGAGGACGGAGGGAGAATCCTTCCTTTTCTTTATCAGAGTCCTCAGTCCATCAGTCGAGTGTCTCACATGGAGTCACCCTCTATCTTTTGTATCACTGCCGTCCCTCCTCCACGTCATTAAATCTTCCCTCTCTTCTTTGCTGTGAAGCCTTTTTCTAAAAAGACAAAAGACCCCCCCCAATGCCAGTCGCGCCGGCCTCAACTGTTGCTATGGGAACACAACAAGTGCCTTCCATGCCATATTAGCCACACCAAGACGAGGAAAAACAACAATTGGAGATTGTGGTAGATTTAGGGTCTCTTAAGGACTGCAGAGGATGAAGATGATGTCATCTTTGTGCGCCTGTAGCATTTTCTGTAACATACAGTATTATCAAGGCCATACCCAACATTTAACAGAATGCACTTAAGTCGATGTAAAAGCTCACTGTCCATCGAGCTTTCTGTGTGTGTGTGTGTGTGTGTGTGTGTGTGTGTGTGTGTGTGTGTGTGTGTGTGTGTGTGTGTGTGTGTGTGTGTGTGTGTGTGTGTGTGTGTGTGTGTGTGTGTGTGTGTGTCTTGTGCATACACATAGGTCTCTGAGTGCTGCCAGCCAAACAAAAGTTCAGCCTCCGGGTGAAATAAAGCAACAAGAGCCACACTCTCAGGCGTTGCTATGGTACCATTAACGCAGTTACAACACTTTCAAGATAAAACACATTGTAGATAATTTAAAAACATGGAATAGAACACACACACACACACACACACACACACACACACACACACACACACACACACAACGTACAGTATGAGTGAAAGCAGTAACTATGGTTACACACTAGGCATGATTGCCCTAGAAGTGTCCATGCTTGTTGTAAATCAATGAGCCTGCATTGTGCTGGCTGTGATGAATAGGGCAGTAAATAAAGGGCTTCTTACTGTATGTCGCAGCAGTTGGTAGAAAGATGTAATTTACAGTAAATTCCACGATTAAATACATAAAGAGGATTGGTCAGTGATACTGCAGCATGAAGTCCATAATTCTAATAGTGTTGTCTAATATTGTACAAAACAAGCTGATGGGGCACCACAAGAATACTGACACAATATGTTACATTCAATCTGTCAGAGTTTACACCAAACCAAAGCTTTGGTGAGCTTTAATGGAAGACAATGAAAGGAAATATTCAGAGAAGTAATGTGACCGAGCTCTTAGGCTTTTTACAAACAAAAACAAAAACTCTTCACAATAACCATGTAATGAAAATAGTGGCAGCTTACCAAGAACCAACAGCTCCACGGAGGCTTCGTTCTGTCCCTCTAAATCATCAGATATCACCACTTTACAGATGTAAACTCCACTGTCTCCCCACTTGACCTCCCCTATGCGCAGGTCGGCCTCTGCAAGAGAAAAAGGGAGATGTAAAACAAAATCCTCCAACACATAATTAATCAACAACTTGGCACAAATATTTCTTTGAGGATGGTTTGAGTTTCATCTAAAAAAAATTATATTAAAACATAAAATACAAGATTCAGATTTGAAAGCTTAATCAATCTCTGTATTACTATATGTTTCATGTGAAATGTTTAATGTTAAACACAGATAAAATATGTTTTTTTCATGGGGATCTGTACATTTGTAGAAGCTCAAGTGAATGCAAGAAACTACATTTCACAAGTCATCGTTCATGTTTTTTCTTTCGATATGTTAGCAAATATTCTAAAGAAATGCTATTCTATGTGTTAAAAGCCTCAAATTCAATTCAAAAATAGTTTCCCCCATGATCCAGCAAATAATCCAACACAATATAGGGCTGCTGACTCCATTGTGAGGGGGTCAGACATGTAAATAGAGCCGACAGGAAACAGGGTTGTATAATTAACTTCCTTTTCCTGTTAGCCAAGGAAGGGAGAGGAGAGAGAGGCTGACCACACCACTGAGACCTGCCTCTCGTGTAACACAATAACACCTCCACTCATTCAGCGTACACTCTTATAGTGAATAATCACTCAATCCAAAAACATGCAAGTCAGCTGGACTGCCATTTTTTTTATTTCATTAAAGCCAATGTGGGGGTTGGTCTCTGTTAGCCATGTTATTAACAGCCTGGTGCATGCTGGGATAGACTCCAGCCTCCCTGTGATCCCAAATAGGATGACATGAGCTGGATGACTGGGCGTCTCTAAAGGGAACATAGTTAAAGCTTTCACTTTTTGGTCTATTTACAACATTGCTGCGCTGACCGGTTTCAGGGCAGGAGGTGGAAGGGGACAGAAAAACAGAAAGGACAAAGTGAAAGAAAAGCCTTACTCCTAGAGACATGAATGTGTGGATGGTGGGATGTGGAGAGATCTATGGAGTGGAAATAAAAGCGGGACATTGAAGTACATCAGAGGGAAGGAGTGAGAGGTCAGGATGAATGAGAGGACAGCGTGCAAACCATCTCTTTTGTCTGTGTTCCTGGCTGCTGAAGAGAAGGTTGATTCTTCAGCTAGAGTTAGAGCTCCATAAATCTGAGGCCTGCAAACAAGGCTACCTCTCTGTCTCACACACACACACACACACACACACACACACACACACACACACACACACACACACCACACACACACACACACACACACACACACACACACACACACACACACACACACACACACACACAAACATGTACATGCACAGTAGTGTCCCTTAGATGATCCCTTAAGACAATAAAGGAATGTAGAAGTAGTGAGGAGGAGAATCCTTGTATCCTCTATTTGAGCCAATAGTCTGACTCTTTTACATTGAGCATGTAACATGTCATAAATGCCATCTGTCCTAGCATTCACAATTATTCATGACTGCAGGGCGTACCCAATAGTAAACAGATAATATTCAGAACATTGAGATTTCTGAGACTTTCAAAAAGGTAAAGCTCTAGTTGATCATTTTTAGGATTATTATTGAGATACTGAAATTCTTTGCAAGCCTTGAGAGTTCTGTACTTTTTTTATTTTAAAACCATCCTTGCCTTTTCCAACATCTAACAACGCACTCTTTTCTTCTGGTGCCAAACTTAAGAATTGTAAAAAATAAACTGTTGCTTGTGGGAATGTACTCATTGTTTCTGTGTTATATAACATTATTGTTGTGAAAGCTCTTAAAGTGTTCGGTAAAGCCTCTCTTCTCTCACCCTGCTCTACATGTGTGCAGAATCTCCCTTAGCACACGTTTGACATTCAGGAATCTGTGTGAAGAGCGGGCCAATGCTCGACTCACGGTTTTATAAAACGTGTTAGGCTTGGAAGCAGAAGAAATAAGACCAAAGGTAATGCAAAAACGAGGCTGCTTTTCTTTTCTGCACCAAGTGAAACGGACAACTCAAAAACTAAACCTTTTCGGTTTATATTATTATTATATTCATTAATGTCTTATGTCATGTCTTTGATTTTTCATATATTGTGTGTTTTAACTACATGTTTCTGCTTCTGTAAAGCACATTGTGAGGAAAAAAAAATGATGATGTGATGCTGTCTGTGTTCCCAGTGTTTAGTTTCAATAATTCCCCAGCACAACTTTCTTAATGAAAGCCAATGAACTAAAACTCCATGTAAAGTTGAAATTCAGCCTCTAGCACAATTACAGTGTTGGTCTGGCTACAAGGCTTCTGTGTGACTCAAGATTATTTTCATCATTGGCATCAGAGACACCGTTTCTGAGGTAGTGCTAGAAGAAATCTTACTGCTGATGATGGAGATGTCTCTGTTCTTGTAGTACTCCGACAGTGTGATGGAGGAACCAGAGATGGAGGCCACAGTACGAACCGTCCGGCTGCTATCAGCACAGTCCAGGTAGCCCGCGGTGATCCCCGTCTCGTACCCCCCGCCGACCCCCCTGCCTCCACTCGTCAGCCCACCTCCTCCCTGGCCTCCACCCAGGCTGTCGGGGTAGTTGAAGGAGTCCCTGGTGCGGTCCCGACAGTACGACTTGAAGACCCACTGCACCACTGGGGTCTGGGTGGACACGCTGTTGTACTGACATGGCAGAACCACCGACTGGAACAACACGGCATACCTCTTCTCGTCTCGCACAAACACATTGACCCCCGAGCAGAGGGGAGGGAGGACACCTGTGGGAGGATGAGGAGATAATGAAGAGGGATCAGTAAAGTGTGAAAGAAGGGTGGGTTAAAAAACAGGCTAGATAATCATTTAATGTATGTTCAATTTGAGCTTCAAGCACTCCACTTCTTCTCAGAGTCATATTCAGATCTGCGAGATCTTGTATTTTTGCCCATATCAGATATTGCAGAACTTAGCTTGTTTCACTTATTCTGCACATATTTTGTACCACCCACCTGCAGAGAACTCCTGTAGTGGTGTTAACATATTATCGTGCTTATTGTAAGCATTCTGTTTGCATTCCCTTAGCAAAATAACTTAACATTACTTTGTATGTAACATTGGCTTATATAGCTTTTAAAAGTGTTTATCTGCAGATCCTTAATCAGAGCTGAATGCAGACATGACGCAGATATTTATAGATCAGTATACACTTATCAGACGATATCACTCGCTGATCATAATGTAAAGAAAGAAGCTTGGCCTTAGAATCTCTTTAAAAAACAAAAATCAGTATTCAAGTGATAACTCTCTGTACACTCATGGGTGCATTGCAAACAGGATCTGCTAATAGCTAATTCTGCTTAGATTGAATGGTGCCAATTGGTTGTTGGAGAGCTGCAGTGCCAGACTTTGAAAACCTCCGGCTTACACAAACACACCACAGATCTGGAAGCCAAAACAGGTTTCAGTAATAACTAGGGATGTGTAATGAGGGGGATTTAAGGACTATTACAGTAGACAGCAACACACTATGATTCAGATACTGAGTTGAGGTTTAAGGAGACACCTGTTCCTGTTTAATCACTTTAAACAAATCTTGACAAGTCAAACGCTCCCTTCATTGCATAATGGAAAGAAGCTTTTCCAAAATGAGATTCAGTGAACATTGTTTTGTTTAGCTGGAATGAAATGAGTCAGCCTGCAGTTTGGAAAGATAAGTGTAAGAAAACATGGCCTTCTTGAAACTGTTTGGGTTGCTTCTTCTTGGTGAAGTCTGACTGTGAGCTGAGTTGACTCTGGGTCACATGATGACCAGGAGCTCGAGCCCGGTAGTTCAACAGCAACACAGTAGAGAGGGGGGCCATGTGAGGTAAACACACCCGCACACTCACACCCAGAAACATCTGCGCATGCTGCTGAGGGTGTGTGTGTATTTCAGGCTGAGCAGTGGGAGGTGTGTATGAACTGGACCAGTGAACAGGGATGAGGTGAGGGATGAGAGAGGGGCCGCTTCACTTAATCCAGACCAGGCCTAATGAAAGACTTCTGTTTTCTTTCTAGTGAACCTAACTAAACACCCTCACATGGTTTCAAACATTTGACTATTCTTTCTTCGCTGTTTTTCAAATGGACATAATGACACTTTAGATAATAAAAGGACTGCAAAGAACTAACCAGAGTTACACACTGTAGCTGTGCTGAAACGATTTGTCAAGTGATTGATACGTTGATTGACAGAAAAAGTCATCTACATTATTAGATGCTGATTTTCTCTTGTCTTACATTTAAAAAAACTATATATATTAACTTGTGGTCTCTTGATCGGACAAAACAAGCATTTTGAAGGTCTTTTTCACTACTTTTGATATTTCAGAGACTGAATGAGTAATTGGCTATGATTTATTTTGTAGTGTATATCCTAATAAAATTGTGAACAGGTCATTAGTTGCTGTGCTTTTATTTAAAAAGAAAAACTGTAGCCATTACTGTTAATTACATTCTGAGGATTTGTGACCTTCACACATAGACCTATTTTTCTTACCAGAATAATGTTGTTCTGTAAGAATGTGAGTCGTATGAAGCCAAAAGGTAATATGTTGGCTGGAGAAGTTCAAATTGTTTTGCGGGAAAAAAAGCAATTCTGGCCAAGACAAATCAAGCTGACTAAAACTGAAATTCCTCAGGGTGAACATTTCTGAATTCTGAGAACTGGAAGAAAAAAAGCCAGGAGATTTGTCTCCTTGGAGCACAGGCTGTGGGGCGATCCAGGCTTTATTAGTTTTCAGAGGAAGCCACCTCCAGAGGATAAAATGAAAGCAGGAGGAGGGCAAAGAAGGTTACTGTTGTTGTAGGACAGTGGAGCTTTGCTGAGAATGCTCAAGAGATATGAGTGTAGTATTCAAGTATTGCTGACATGATTTGTCAGTCTGCTTTTTGAAAGCATGCGGTTTTTTGTGATTTTTTGTAACACTTGATTTTGCTTTTAATTGAGATAAACAGATTCATATAACAACGTTTGTTTAATTTAACATGATACTACTAAAATGATCATTACTGTAGGCCTATCACCATAATGGTGATACAGGAATGATCATTTTAGTAGTATCATGTTTGGCATTACCAAAATCACAGCAATGAGCCCATAGCTACTCTGGTGTTTTACCTGGCTACTGTAGTACAAAGTGTAGTGCTACTGCTAACTCAACAATGTGTCCAAAACTATAATATATTTGATCAATTTACTAATACGAAAATACTGACATGTGGATCAATAAGTGTTTTAAATGCATCTACTATATGTTTTATTATTTTACTAATATTTATTGAGTGTATTTTTTGTTTCGACTAATTAAATTGAGTGGTCAACTGTCATTTACTACTGTTAGACCTTGATCCACAACCCCCAAAAGCTTTGGATCATTCATTCACACATGACTGAGTCAGCTGCAGCACTAACGTTACTAACATACCGTCAATTTAGCAGACTGTAACTTCACTTTATAATATTTCCTGTGAAAACACTACCGTTTTGGGAGAGGTTAGTAGTGTGCGAAGAATAACGCGTATAAAGTGTACAATGGGGAGCACAAAGTTATTAAACAACCTGTTACACCACTTTACGCAGAGTGGATACCATCGTCTGCTCTGTCCTTACCTGTCAGACAAACGATAAAAATCCAGCACTTCGGCACCAAAATCATTTTCCAAATCCTGCAGGTGGATATTATATCAGTCTTCTGAAGAACGTCGTCCTCTTTTCTCTTTCTTCTCATCCCCGGACGATACTTCTGGCTCACACACACAGTTACAAACTAACGGTCACTCACTGGCACATAACGGGACCAGCGTGAAGCTTGGTGAAATAAAAACACATGACTTCCGGTCACTGATTCCACAATAAAAGCTCTGTTGTGGCGGTTAATGAGAACACATTTTGTCAAGTTCAGTTGCTAGAAAACAGTGTAGTTTATGTTACCCAGCGACATGTTACACAGTACCAATCCCCATCCAATATTGGAACAAAATGCCAAATATTAAAAATAACAACATAGCCAAGAGACTAGTCCTAGCCAAAAACGTGTTAGCATCATTTGAAAGATGAGGTGGGTTATGTCAATAGACTTTAGGCATCAATGAAAATAATATCCAGCTGCTTGCTTGTATGTTATTGAAGTTACATTTTATCATTTTATTTTGAAGTCCAAATGATCCCGTATCCGGCACTAGTTGCCTCGCCCTGTAACTTCACGCCGCAGAGACGCTCTTTCCAGACAATGGATATTGGCGGTGATGGAGGGAGGGTAATAGAAAGAAGTTAGGACTTTAATGAATCCACTACATTACATAAATACATAATACTTCAACGGGCACTAGGCCTATACTAAATATATTTTCGCTTTCACCTGCCATCAATTACATGTGATCATAGAGGATTACCGTACATTGTTTGGTGTAGGCTACTGTTGCCATCTAGTGTTCAAGTTTCATAGTAGAAAAAAGTTGTTTTTTTATTGATTTATTTCAGCTTAATTTTTACAGCATAATTCAGGAATGGAATGCATCACACAATGTTCACAACATAAATCCAAATATAAAACAGATAACATTACCATTGTTGAGATAAAATAGTAGTATTTATAATGTACATTTGCCATTGTTCATTTAATAGGAACCTATTAAAAAATAAAATTCGACATAAGAACAACAACTTTGAAGGTGGCATGGTAAAGGATGTTTTATACTGCACATGTTCAATTATAGAAAAATCAGTATTAAATAATGCTAATTTAATTTGTGATTTAAAAAAAAGAAGAAGAAGAAAAAGAAGAAGTTCTAGTTCTAGTTTCTAATGTCATGGTTTGAAAAATTAGACGCACCAAATAGGGAGGACATTTAACAGGCTCAGTATACTATACAAGTATTGACAGTGTCTAACTGAAATAAACACATCATTCAATGAAGTGTGAGAAAAATTGAAGTCTTTTGTGTGGAGGTAGGTTCCAAAAAAAAGAAAAGAAAAACCACCACCAGTTACACCCAACAGCAGAAACCACACATAAGCAGACACATAACAAGGCCTTGCTTGTTATGGTGTTGAGTTTAAAGATAAAATACCAGCTAATTTCTTCATTAGAAAAACTTTTTGTCTGGGGGATCTCTGAAAACTTTGACTGGTTGCTAATATTTGTATGACATACGTTTTGGTAAAAAAAAAAAAAAAAATACAGATCATGCCCTAGGCTGACCCCGCCCCATTTAAAATGGATCAGATAGGCTTTGTGGCCGCCATTTTGCTTCCTGCTCTTCTTCAAATGATCCTCCCAAAAACAACTTCACCCTAAAAAGGACAGATTATGCTTCCACTAAATTCTAGTATAGTTGTGGCGTTTTAGCCAATCAGGTCACACCTTGAGTGTGACTGTGTTTTTGCCATTGGAGTAAAGTCCAAGGAGATAAACCAGAAGTTGGAAGATGACAGTTGATACAGGTTGGATGCTTTACTCGTCATTGTGCCTCCTAGTTGGCTTATTGGCTGGCACCGGTGGTCTGTCACGATCATCATAGGGCTCATCATAGCGGTCATCAACATCAGAACGACGGTCTCTTCGGTCATCATAGCGGTCATCAACATCAGAACGACGGTCTCTTCGGTCATCATCGTCGTCGTAACGCTCATTGCGGTCACTCGGCCTGTCGCGCCGGTCATCGTAGTCACTGCGTCGATCGTCGTAGTCGCTGCGCCGATCGTCATGGTCGCTGCGACGGTCGTTATAATCGCTGCGCCCATCCTCATTATCCTTGCGGCGATCGTAGTCGCGCTCACTCCGTTCCTCATTGCGGTCGTTGCGCTCAACAGGGCTCCTCCTCACACTGGAGTCATCATAACCTTGGGGGTCCTCGTGCCCATCAGGACGGCGACCATCACCATTCCTAGCTGGCTCTTTGTCACTGTACTCTTCCTCAAGAACTCTGGAAAGGGAACACATAACAGTCAGCTATTGTTATTTTTTCTTTGGCAATGTTCTCCTGGAAAATAGCTTTCACCAATGACTAGCTTAGCTGAATCGGGTTGGTTCATGAAATATTTAATGTAGTCTTGCCAAAACAAAAACTTAATATTAAAAAAAGCTTGAACCTTTCACATAAGCACCATTGTCAACTGCTTAGGCCAACAGCACCTGTTATCTGATCCAAATTATATATTAGCCAAATTTGGCAAGACTAGAGATAGAGATACAGAAATAAACATGACATAAAAAGACTTGAACATTTTTCCAAATGGAGCAAATATGGCTGTGTATATCAGAACAAGTTTTTGAAGCTTATGTATGTGAAACATTGACTTGCAGCTTCCTTTTTCATAAAGGTATGTTGGTAATAAGCAGTTTTGGAAGTGTACAGGTACAAACATGTAGTCTGCTGTTATAATATTCTTTTTTAAATATGTTTCAGCGAGTATGTTTCTCGGTTGACAGAAGGCTATTTTTTCGGTTATCATATAACAGCATTTTGTTCAGTCAGTGTAAGGGAGAACATCTTTACCCCATTGCGTGTTCCTCATCCTTCTTCTTCTTCCTGCAGCAGCAGCAATAGATGACGATGATGAGTACTATCAACAGGGCAACCACTCCACCAATGATTCCTGCAGTGGACCCAATGTTCATGGAAGCTGTAGGAGTGGAAGAACAAGAACAAGAATGTTTTTATTGGGAATACTCAGTTCTCTTCTCACAACAATTTTCGTATAAAAAGCTGCTATTAGAACATTTTTCTCACGTGGCATGACTGTGAGGGTGATGTTGCAGGTAGCAGAGCGGATTTTGTTTCTTGAGGTGCAGACGAAGTATCCAGATGTATCTTTGGAGATATTATACAGAGACAGTATGCCTCCCTCTGAAAGACAAAGAGACGGTCACATATGCACATCACTGCCATAATGATTTTATGTTTTAATTGACTACATATTCTTCACAATACTTTTATTTATTTTTAAAGAAGAAAGAAAAAGAAGCTCAATCATTTTTTTTCAAAACTAAGAAATTGAAATATTTATCTGTTATTATTTATTTTTTATGAATGCATGTATTGGATTATTTAAAATGTTTAAATATCTAAACTTGCATTATTATTGGGCTACAAGTGATGGTGTAGATAACCCTCTGGTCACCACAGACCCAACACAGTCTCACTCCCTGAACGTCCAGGAGCGACGCTTGGTCAGGGTCCATGGCGTCCAGTTGGGACGCGCCGAGTCTCCTTCAGCTTCATAAACGGACGCAAAGAGCTTTTAACTGATTGCAATGTATTCCCATCGGCGGCGGTATTTGACGCTCAGGGAAGCACGGCATCGGTCCATGTCGGCGGCATTTAAAGGCAATGTGAGCGTCCATTCCCATTGGATAACGGAAGATTTTACACCCGGAAGTAAGTATTCTCTTTACTGTCGATTGATTTTACAGTGATATCTGCACTACTCATCAACTCAAAAACACCAGATTATCCTTGTTAATTACACAACATTGATTGGTTTAAAGTGTACAATGCTTTTGTATTTTTCCCCTTCGATTCGGTTTAGGATGGCAGAAGACACTACACTACCCAGAATCCTCAGCTATCGTTTGGGACTACACCATGTGCTTCGCTCGACAAACCCCGTGATATATATATATATATATATATATATATATATATATATATATATATATATATATATATATATATATATATATATATATACTATACATTTGCAGAAGTATACATAAACCCTGTATGAGATGACAGTTGACTTTATCTTTGACCGTTTTACTCTTTCCTTTGCATTGTTTCCATGCATTGTATGTGCTTTGACAAGGTAAACTACTAGTGCTGTCATTTTGACCAGGACTCCTTCGAAGAAGAGATCTCGTATATAGGGCCAGGAAGGCCCTGTTGTTTAACAAGAGGATTAAATAAATATTAATAGTAAAGATAAAGTGTTGACAGACAATGATACTTACTGTCTGTGGTTCTGGGGTCACGAGCACGAGGCATGTTCCTGACATCTTGACTTTGCCATGTATAGGTGGGTGTAGGGGAACCTTCCTCAGACAGGCAGGTCAGGTTGACGTTCTTGCCGTACTCTGCTTTACCCTGCATCTTGCAGACGGGAGTAGATGGAGCCACTAGAAGAAAAAGTGTAATTTGTCCTTGAAAATATGTCTTCAGATGATATATAGAGTGCAGAATCTATTACATCATGAGAAGAATATATTATTAGAGAATACAACATTATACACTTTTTTTTTCTATTTAGGCCGTTAATGTGCAGAATGATTGTTGAAACATATCGCTTCCTGCAGCAAAGTAGCTTTTAGTAACACAGGTGGCAAAATGGTTAAAACAGGAAGAGACCTTTTGAGTATCCATTTTGCAATGGATTAGAGAACATTTAAATGCAAAGAACAATACTGACTGAACTTAAACATCTTTCAAAGTTATAGTATGACACCTGATATTATACTGAATGGTATGCCAAATCCAACATGCAAGATGCTAGTCCTTGCACACACTTTGAAACACTTAAATGCAGAATAATTATTTTTAAACAAATAAAATGTTACCTAGAACCACCAAACGTGTAGTGGCGGCTTGGGTGCCCTCATTATCTAAGGGGATCTGAAGACGACACTCAAACAACTTGTTGTCTTCTAGTTTGATGTTGGAGAGTTTCAGGTTGGCCTTCCCCGCGGGAACATCGACATCCAGGGACAACCGACCCTCATACAGTGCTTTTATGTCAGTGATTTTCCCATCAGAATAATAGGTGACGATGTTGATCTTCAAGAAAACAAGAGCATCAGAGGAACAGTAAAATAGGGGGGAAAACACTTCTTATCAGATAATAAAGAAACATACTCATGCACACAGATAAACACATTGTAGTATCTTACCTCTTTAGCACCAACTACTGCAGCTTCAACAGACCATGAAATGATAACATATTTAGGGGGGGGGGCCTTTTGGTTTAAAGGTGCAGGGTATTGTGATGTTGTCCCCCCTGGCAAACTCATATACTCTCTTGGGGATGCTCACTTGAACGGCACCGACACCTGACAACACTGTCACATTGAATAAATGAGAATACTGGTTATCACAATAAGGCTTGAAGTGCTTGTCATTTATTTAAAAAAGTAAACCGCAGTGAATTTATAATGTTTATCACACATTACGGCATCTGTGTAAAGTGTGTCTTCACTGGGGATGATTCAGCAGCAAACCAGAACTGCACAAATAATTACCCCACCCACCCTGCCTCCCACATACACAAACAAAACAAGTCCGTTGTAAAAATAAATAAATCCGTTAATTCGCAAACATTCACAGGTTCGTTAATATTTTCTCGTTTTCTGATCCTTCAAAGAAAGTAAACTGCATTTATTTCGATATCGTTTGATTGTGTAGGCTACCATCTATCAAACAAATCAAAACGCCAATCGGGAACAGTTTTTGTACATAGAAAAGATACTTCGGTATTTTACCCTGAAAGTAATCAATATTTAGTTTTTTTTAATGATGACATGCACCCTTCATCTTGAAACAATTCTCGTATGCATTTTTAGAAACCATGCCTTGACAAAAGGCAACTCCAAACCTGGGGTGTGACTATTGATAATGTTAAATTCAAGATCTTCCCAAGATTTGTAAATTCTACTAAGCTTATTTTTTTATCATTCATTTGAACTGGTTACTTTTCCACAGCCCAATCACCCATGTCGCCCGCATAAACAGGTAGCTCTGCTCGGTCTCCGAATACCTGAAGGAGCGTAAACAGGTGTGGCAGCTCGGTAAGGCGCAAAGGAAAGGAAGCAAACATTTTTTTCTTGCAGAAGGAATACTCACCCATAGATAGCAGAGTCAATGTATACATCCTCCTCTCCATTGCCAAGGCTTTAATTTTCTCAAACTAACTCACTGGTTATTCTTTGAGTGGTTGTTTGCTCTTAAATAAAACAGGGAACCGCAGCTGAGCAGGGGCCTACTTGCATCGAAACCCCACAGAGACTTGAGAGTGATGCGCCCAATAGGTGCGCCCGCCGCGTACGAGTGACTGACACCTCCCACAGCCAATCGCTGCAGCTCCTGCGGGTAACATTCTTTACCCGCCCACCTGGCGTGTCACTGCTTGCCCCACATGCATTTGTCTATACTTCAGTCTTTTGAGATAGCCTACTCCTTGGCTGGACGTTTTCTGAGGGTTGATTTAACATCAGCAGCACTGTTTCCAAATCGAACCAAATTGATTAACGTGAATCCTCTAAAGTAGGCCTATAATTTTTAATGTTTTAGACTGGTATCGTTGATCAGTCGGCTTTATATTGCAAGAGAGAAGGAATAGGGAAGTTTAGGTTGTGAAAACAAACATTTGACTGTATGGGTGGGGCAGCGATCAACTGATGTTGGAACAAGAGAAGCGTTTAGTCCTGTCAGACTGGTTAGACGAGGATGTTTCACCTGGAGGCAACAACGAAACAGCAAGAGAAAAATAACGAAAGAACAGTGGGACTTTCAGGAAAACTTTTCAAGCGAACCTGTTCCATAATTACCCTCATAACATTACATTACATTACATATAATTTAGCTGACGCTTTTATCCAAAGCGACTTACAATAAGTGCAAAAACCATAAAGAATCAAACTCTGAACAAAGAAAGTCCAGATATATTCAATTCAAGCAAGATCACACCATACAGTAGTAAGTGCTGATGAATCAGTTACAAGGCCTACATAATGTCCTGATGTCATTGGTGAGCTCATTCCCACTATTTAGGAGCCAGGCATGTGTATGGTATAGGTCCCCCATAACTAAAACCAACCACATTTTAATTCAATGGAAATATTCATATGCATTTACATAGTTGCACAATCTCCATAAAGAGAGAAGATAACATTATGTCAATTTAAAAATGTCCACTAGTAGTGCATAAGGGGAATTATAAATAATGTTGCTATTTGCAGATTCCAGTCGTAAAAGCTTTTTTATGACACACATTAGAATCATATTGAACATAAGTAACTTTTTGCTTCATTGTAACATGCTCCCTCAAAGGACTGTTGCATTCTTGTTTGCAGCTTTTTGTGCAAGAGGTTCAATGTAGCATTTTGAGATATTCATCATTACAGTCAGGGGATTGCAAAAAAGATAAAACTGTGTATGTCTGCTAAGAGATAGGCAGCAAGTGTCTGAGCATCATTAATTAAGTTTGCATTTCATGTGACAGTATGTGCCTGTATCTTCACAAAGCTTGAAGCCCTTTCATAAAGGGAAAATAATATATGTGAGATGTTTTTTTCTCCACTTATGTACATCTGTATATAAATGTATTTGTATATTTTTATGTAAATTCATGTACATTTGTATTTTTCCCAGGAAACTTCCCCTCCAGCTTTCCTTTTCTTTCCCATCCCCTCCTTCTCCACTACTTAACACTAAAAACCAATTTCCACTCTTGTGCTCCTGGCAGTCTTATCTTGCCTCCACATAATGAATCCAGACCCCACAACACTTTTTATGTTCTTTCTCACACATTAAACCACTTAAAATTGCCTGGCAGCTGTTAACAAACCACAGAGATGAACAGGGATTAACGATGTTCTCTCTCTGTGGCACATTACACCCTGCTGGATTTCATTTGTTGTTTCCCTGTTTGTATCTGTCATGTCTGTGTTGAAGTGTATTTCAGAGCTCCACCTGTAAGAGGTCTCACTGAATCTGTCTCCTTGTTAGTCCTTTTTCATTTCTGATACCTGTGAAGTCCCATTACCCGGAGGCAGCTGAGGACCCATAGAGACATCACTTACTGCAGTAACCCCCTGGGTCATAACAGGATGAGGACCCAGCAGGAGATCAGGTAAATTCAATCAGTCAGTCTGTGAACATATCACATCCCATAACACTCACCAGGAGAACAACATGACTCACTCACAGGTTAACACATTTAGCCATGTTGGGACTACACAGGTCATAGTATCAAATTATTTGATTTTAACTAAGCACTGCTTCTCAGCATGCCCTTTTAAAAGTGGTACAGTTTATCCAAAAGTGACTTACAATAAGTACAATAATAACAGTTTGCTTATTTATATATGCTGTGTGGCTATGGCAATGCCATTTGGCCGGACCACCAATTTGGTACAGATAGAGATCTTTGTACACATTTTGGATGGAATCACACGTCATTTGGTTAAGTCTTTCACGGTGTTCAGAGGATACACCCTGTCAACTTGGAGGATTGCCTGACTGTTCATATAGCAACCAACAGGTCAAAGGTTTCTCTTAACCAGAGAAATATCTTGACATCTCGATGGCTTGACAAACTATTTTGTACAGACATTGACATACAGGTCAACCTAATGAAATTTGATTTTACTTTAGATTGTTTGGCATGATATTTGGCACTGTAGACATTTATGTCCCCCACAAAATAATTAACTTTTGTAATCCCTTAACTTGTCATGTAACGCCATCTTCTGTTCAAAACTACAATATCCCTTCTGAATCATACCCAAATACTTGCAAAACTATTACTGATGTTATAAGCCTCCACTTTACTTTATGTTAAGTGCAAATTCAGAAAAGGTACGCAAACTAACATTCTTAACTGGTTAAATAATATACCTGTTAAACATCCGAACTTCATCACTGTGAGCATTCCAACACAGTGACATTATCATTTAGCTCAAAGCATAGCTAGCTAGAGGTGCTGTTTTACAGAGCATTGTGTGGCTCTTAGTATTGTCACAAAATCTATTTTGATAAAAGCAGTCCATTTGATCATCAACTGTAAACCCATCCTCTTCAGGGCCGCAGTCTATTGCAACACACAGTTGGTATAAGGCAGGATACGCCCTGAGTCTGAAAAAGTATTCAGTCTGTGATAACAATTTACTGTTTTTCAATTGGTAATACATGTATCCCTACCAGGATCATTTCTAATGACAGATTACAATAACTCAGACAACAAGGGGGAAAATACAAACAAATCGTTAAAAGGCTGTTTGGACGTCGAGCTTGTCGTCAAAAAACTGAAAAGCACACAAAACCGTAGATATGAAGTATTAGAGATAGAAAGAGTGACTTATACTTTAGCCTGAATAATAATCACCTTCAGCAGCAGGTATACCGCATAATGATGCCCTGCTTTGTTCTGTACCTGACGGAGCCTGCCTGTGGATTTCCTTCAGACTTGTGTGGTAGATCAATTTTCCAATTTTAACAGCACTTTCACACTGTTTCTGTCTCCTGCATGTAAAAGGTTGAAAGACTAAATTGCAGATTGGTCAAATATCTGCACTGCAATCTGAAGGTGCAGACATTATGTGATTTCAGGTCATTGTTTGTCAGACACTATATGTTCATCCCTTTCAGCCTTGACATGACATTATCTCTCCTTACTGTCCTTGGAACTTAAAATGTGACAACCACTTTTCTCAATTCAGAGAAGGATGGATGTATTTGACAATATTAAATAAATATAAATAAATGATGTGAAAGACAGCAATCCAACTCCTAAGTTAACCAGTTAAAAATGGTCAAAGACAAAAGCAAAAAACATGTTTATCTTGATGCAAGTTCAGAACCTTTTTAAACAAATCATTACAAACAAACAGTATGGGACTATAAGATACATCTAACAACATGTATGTATTTTTAACAAAAAACTGTAACCCATTTACACATTTGATACCATATAATTTTTAAGCACTCTAATAATTTTCTTATTTCCTCTCTGAAATCCAATAGCACAGACACACATATTGATTGTTCTTTATTGGCGCATGTTGTTAATCTTTGAGCGCACTTGGTAACAAGTCGACCCCCACGTTTAAACACAGAAGAGAACGAGCACACAGACGTTTTGCTTTTCTGAAACCCCAAAGGACCTGTCCATGTGTCCTTGCGTTAAATATTGTACTAGAGAAAACCTGTTGAGTGGTCGCGGGGGGAGATGGACCTGGACCATCTGTACTAATGCGTCGCGCAGCGTCACTGCTCTCCAAAGCTCGGCACGGACGATGTGGTTCACCGGCGTGGTCATCGCTTCAGTTTACGGTGTTATCAGCGTGTTGGGGCTTATCGGCAACATCACGCTCATCAAGACCTTTTGCTCGGCCAAATCCGTCCGAAATGTGCCCAATCTCTTCATGTCCAGCCTTGCGCTCGGGGACGTTTTACTGCTGGTGACCTGCGCTCCGGTGGATGCCAGCCGCTACCTGTCAGAGGAGTGGCTGTTCGGGAGAGTGGGCTGTAAGGTCATCCCCTTCATTCAGCTCACCTCGGTCGGGGTGTCTGTGTTCACTCTTACCGCCCTCTCTGCTGACAGGTAGGCTACTGTTTTCTGTTATTATTGAGCCTTTTGTCTGCTCCCTTTATAATGGCCCTGAAGTAAGCCAAATTATCCAAATGTGTTCTTGTTTTGTCTATTAAGAGCTAGATGAAGGCATATTGAGCGTGCAAACTTTATGTTTTATTACTGTGACGGGGCTGGGACTAAAATAATTGGGAATACCGGGAAAACTCCCGGTATTCCCAATGGCCAGTCCGCCCCTGATGGGAAGCAAATAAGCATTGATCGAGGAGTACTATGCATGACAACGAAGTGCTTCTGTTAAATGCTGCTGACACGTGTAAGTAATACATTAATAAAATAAATGTACTACATTTTTTATTTCAAACTGATATTGTCTTATGACAATAATAGTTTAGCCTGGGGAACAATAAATCACTGTCATATTCTGAATGAAATGAGCAATATCAACAGTAAGCTGTCAGTGGACATTTTTAATTGGGTAGGCCTATAATGTTTAAAAGTCTATGTTTCAAAATGCTTTAATTTAAATAAATGAAAATCCGTTTGAAACACGAGAGAAGAAACGGAAAAATACATAATAGGTGTGTGTGTGTGTGTGTGTGTGTGTGTGTGTGTGTGTGTGTGTGTGTGTGTGTGTGTGTGTGTGTGTTGCATGTGTCAGTTCTTCCTCTCATTATTTCTGATCTTTGGCCACTTCGTTATTTCTTAGTAGCAGGAACATCTTTATTAACCCCAGTCATTTCTTGGTTTATCAAACGAATAACTGTGTGTACGCAGGAAATTAGAAAAAAATTATCATATCAAAGTCAGAATATGTCACAAACGAGCTGAGGACCAAAATGCAACACACGGGGAAACCAGGGATAGTCAGTAACCAGCTTTATTGAAGGCAATAACTGGTAGGAGACGAAAAGGCAGATAGTAGGCAAAGGGCTGGTCGGGGACAGGCGAGAGTTCCAGGAGAAGGCAAGACGGGAGTCGCAGGTGCAGACCGGGTCAGGGAGCAGGCGTGGCAGAATAGTCCGGGTACAGGCAGGGTCAGGAATCAGGCGAGGCAGGCAGGTCAGGGACAGGCAGGGTCGGAACCGGGAGAGCAATCTGGTGAGTAACGCTGGAAAGACTGGCATGCTGCAAAGTACGATCTGGCACTGAGGTGAGAGTGAAGTGGGCCTATATACTACTGGAGCTGATGGGTGTAACAGAGTGAGAGAGAGAGACAGGGTGTGGCTACCAGGTGACTAAGGAATGTTAATGCAGAAAATAGGTGAGTGAGAAAGCAGACTGTGACAGAACCCCCCCCTTAATGGACGGCTCCCGACGTCCAAGACAAACCTACGAGAAAAAAATAAAAAATCAACAAAAATCCTACAGACACCGGGTGGAAGGTGGGGGTATGGGAAGGGTTAATACTCATCTGAGAATGCTCTCTCGGCCTCCCCCTCCTGGAAATCCTCGTCCTCCTCGACTGAAGACGCCTCCCCCTCCTCCTCGATGAAGCCCCCGGTCCGCAGCCGACGAGTACCCCCCGGCTTAACGCCTGGTTGAGCGTGGGTCCTAGAAGGCTGCTCCGGGTAGCGCAGGTGGAAGTCTCGGATGAGTTGAGGGTTGAGGATGTGACGAGCAGGAATCCACTGCCTCTCCTCAGGACCATAGCCCTCCCTGTCCACCAAATATTGAACCCCTCTTCCTCTGCGTCGGGAACGAAGTATACGACGAAGGGTGTAGGTAGGGCCCCCATTGAGCAGGTCTCCCTTGAAAAAGAGATCAATGATCTCAATGGGATATAACCTGGATAAATAAAGGTTTGAAATGAAATGAAATCCTAGGGGGTGGTGGTGGGGGAGCGGCGGGAATCATAGAACTCTCCCGGACAGGTTTAATCCTAGACACGTGGAAAGTGGGATGGATCTTCATGTTCCGGGGCAAACTCAGTCGAACTGCTGCAGGGTTAATGACCTTGACAATCTCAAAGGGTCCAATAAACCTGGGCGCTAACTTTTTAGACTCCACCCGAAGGGGAATGTTCTGAGTGGAAAGCCACACCTTCTGGCCTAGCTGATACACAGGTGCCTTGGTGCGTCGGCGGTTCGCTGATGTGGCGTACCGGTTAGCAGACTGAAGCAGAGTTGTTCGAGCCTCCCTCCAAGTCCTCCGACAACGTCTGATGAAGGCCTGGACAGACGGACAGGTAACCTCCTTCTCCAATGCAGAGAACAAAGGGGGTTGAAAACCGTATGCACACTGAAAAGGGGAAAGACCAGTAGCGGAACTGATGAGGGTGTTGTGGGCATACTCCACCCACAGGAGTTGTTTAGACCAGGTCGTAGGATGATCGGAAGCCATGCAGCGGAGAGTGGTCTCCATCTCCTGATTCTTCCGTTCAGTCTGACCATTGGCCTGTGGATGAAAACCGGAGGTGAGACTGACCGTCGCCCCGATCAGTTCACAAAACTCCCTCCAAAACACAGAGGTGAACTGGGGCCCCCGGTCGGAAACCACATCAGTTGCCAGTCCGTGAAGGCGGAAAACGTGGAGAAGCATAAGTTCTGCCGTCTCCTTAGCTGACGGGATCTTAGGCAGGGGTACAAAATGAGCCATCTTGCTGAACCGATCCACCACCGTCAAGATGGCAGTATGTCCGTGGGACGGTGGAAGACCAGTCACAAAGTCCAAAGAAATGTGTGACCACGGGCGACGTGGGACCGGTAAAGGATGAAGGAGGCCAGCTGGCGCTTGGTGAGAGGGTTTGTGCCGATTGCACACAGGACAGGCGTTCACAAACTCCCGGGTGTCAGCCTCCAGCGTAGCCCACCAGAACCGTTGCAGGACCATCCCTCTGGTACGTTGAATCCCAGGGTGGCAGGAAAGTCTGGAGCTGTGAGCCCACTGAAGCACCTCAGCCCTCAAAACCTGAGGCACAAACAAACGGTTAAGAGGACAAGAACTAGGAACGGGTTGGTCCACCAAAGCGGTCTTAACCCTCTCCTCAATCTCCCAAGCGAGGACGCCGATCACTCGAGGAGCAGGAAGAATAGTGTCCGGGATGCCGCGGGTATCTCCCTCCCTCCCGAACTGCCGGGACAGAGCGTCGGCCTTCACGTTGCGGGAGCCCGGGCGGTAGGAGAGGAAAAAATTAAACCGGGTGAAAAATAACGACCACCTGGCTTGCCGGGAATTCAGTCTCTGTGCCGACCTGATATATTCCAGGTTCTTATGGTCGGTCCAAACCTGAAATGGTAGTTCTGTCCCCTCAAGCCAGTGTCGCCACTCCTCCAACACCAACTTGACTGCTAGAAGCTCCCGGTTCCCCACGTCGTAGTTTCTCTCCGCCGGACTCAATCTCCTCGAAAAGAAAGCACAGGGGTGGAGCTTCTGGTTCTCACCAGAACGTTGCGACAGGATGGCCCCCACCCCTACGTCAGAAGCATCCACCTCCACCACCAACTGACCAGCAGGGTCTGGTACCTGCAGGATAGGAGCCGACGTAAACCGGCGCTTGAGGTCCTGAAAAGCCTCCTCGGCTGCAGGGGACCATCTGAACGTTACCTTGGACGAGGTCAGGGCGGTGAGCGGGGCGGCCACGGTACTGTAGCCACGGATGAACCGTCTGTAAAAGTTAGCGAATCCTAGGAACCGCTGCAGCTCCTTCCGGGAATCAGGAACCCGCCACGAGGTAACCGCTGAAACTTTGGAGGGATCCATCTCCACACTTCCTTGACCCACGATGTAGCCAAGAAAGGCGACCGAAGAAGTGTGAAACTCGCACTTCTCCGTCTTGACGAAAAGTGAGTTCTCCAAAAGTCTCTGGAGGACTGTCTGGACGTGGTGGATGTGTTCCTTGAGGGTCTTTGAAAAAATCAAAATGTCGTCCAAATAAACAAAAACATAACGATCCAACATGTCCCGGAGTACGTCGTTCACCAACGCTTGGAAAACTGCAGGGGCGTTGGTAAGTCCAAATGGCATCACTAGGTACTCGTAATGTCCCGACGAGGTGTTGAAGGCGGTCTTCCATTCATCCCCCTCACGGATTCGTACCAGGTGATACGCGTTTCGTAGATCCAGCTTAGTAAAGATTGTTGCTCCCTGTAGTAACTCGAACGCTGACGAGATGAGTGGCAGGGGATAACGATTCTTTACCGTGACGTCATTCAGACCCCGATAGTCAATGCAGGGTCTCAGGGTCTTATCCTTCTTCGCCACAAAAAAAACCCCTGCTCCTGCGGGTGACGTGGAAGGACGAATAATTCCCGCAGCCAGAGAGCCATTGACGTACGTCTCCATCGATTTCCTCTCCGGTGCCGAAAGCGAGTACAACCGCCCCTTGGGTGGGACTGCGCCTGGATGTAGCTCAATGGCACAGTCATAGGGCCGATGAGGTGGGAGAGATGTCGCCTTAGTCTTGCTAAAAACCTCCTTAAAGTCCAAATACTCCGGCGGAACCCCTGTGACATCCGGAACCAGGTTCATATCCACAGATAGTTGAGGTGCGGCGGCCTGCTTGAGGCAAACCTGATGACAGGAAGAACTCCAACCTAGGATGGACCCAGTTGACCAGTCAATGTTCGGGTTATGACGGGGGAGCCATGGATAACCCAAAATCAGAGGAATCTTGGGAGACCGTAGCACATGAAACTGGATTGTCTCATGGTGGTTCCCCGACATGAGCATATGGACCGGTGTCGTCTGGTGAGTCACCGTTCCCAGCAGGTGACCATCCAAAGCATTAGCTGGTACCGGCTGAGGCAACTGAACCTGTTGAATGCCCAGCTGTAGTGCGAGCTCCTCATCAATGATGCTGATATCTGATCCGGAGTCGATAAACACAGCCAGAGCCTGAGATTTGCCTGCCAGGAGAAGTCGAGCATGGCACAAAGGTCTTCCATTGGGGATCAGCTCAGAGGTTCGTCCCACCAGTATACTCCCCATTACTGATGGGCTCTGCCTTTTCCCGGACAACGGGAAACAAAATGTCCAGCCTGACCACAGTAAAGGCATAAATTACCTCTTCG